AAGATCTGATGTTTGGTTTTGGATGTGTTGCGTTTAAGGATATCTTTTGAACATTCAAGTACAGATATCAAGCAGTCAGTTGGATGAAGAGTCTAGAGTTTGGAAGGGAATTATAGACTAAAGATATAAATTTGAGAGTTGTTGACATGCAGGTGGTATTTAAAGCCGTGAGACTAGATGAAGTCATTAAGTGATAAATTAATTGTCCTGTCTTTATCAATTTAAGTAATAATAATTGCATTCCTATAAAATGTTACAGAGTACCTATATATACATTTAAGGAGACACTAGCCTCTTTGAGTAAATAAGTAAACAGATTCACAAAAGTTAAACAACTTCCCTTTAGGTCACCAATCCAATAAGCAATCAAACTAGGATTCCAAAGCCTTTGTTTTTCTATACCCACCAGGTCATTGTCTTGTTTGTATAAACCAGAAACATCTATATATTGACGAGGTGGCTAAAGTAAGCAGCTTGCTAGTGGGCAGGCAGCTTAGACAAATGGGGAAATTTTGTTCATCTTCCCACAAACACATTTCAGGATTTGTAAATATTTAACTAATTTTTTTAACCTTTGAGATAAAAGGAAAATATTCTGTATCCCAAATTTATAAATTTTAAGAGAGTGTACAAAAGTCCTCCAGGTCTTGCTTTGAGTTAATGATTAGAGCTGTTAAAACCTAATTCACTCATTTCATACGATGTTCTCCCATGAGAAAACTCAAAGTTTGTGAAATTTTTTTAATATAGTAAAATATACATAACAAAATTTACCGTTTTAGCCATTTTAAGCGTACAGTTCAGTGGCATTAAGTACATTGACAATATTGTGTAACCATCACCGCTATTTCAAGAACTTTTTCATTACCCCAAACAAGAACTCTATACGCGTTAAACAATAATTCTCCATTCTCTCTCCCCACTGTCAGCCTGTAGTAACTTCTGTTCTACTTTCTGTCTCTATGACTTTCCCAACTCCAGATGTGTAAGTGGAATCATACAACGTTTGTCCTTTTGAGTGAGGCTTGGTTTCTCTTAGCATAATGTTTCCAAGATTCAGCCGTGTTGTAAGCATATATCTGAATTTTATTCCTTTTTATGGCTGAATAATATTTCATTGTGTATATATACCACATTTTATTTATCTATTCATCTGTTGAAAGACGTTTGGCGTGTTTCCACCCTTTGGCTATTTGTGAATGATGCTGTTATGAACATTGCTGTACTGTATGTGTTTGAGTCTCTGTTTTCTGTTCTGTTGGGTAACCCAGGAGTGGATTACTGGATCATCTGGAAAATCTTTGTTCAACTTTTTGAGGAACTGCCAAACTGGTGTTTTCCCATGGTAGCTGCATCACATTTTAAAAAAAATAATACCCGTCTTAAATGGGTATGAAGTGGTATCTCAGTGTGAGTTTTGATTTTTATTTCCCTAATGACTAATGAAGTTGGGCATCTTTTCATGACCTTATTGGTCATTTGTATATCTTCTCTGGAGAATATCTAGTCAAATCTTTTGCCCATTCTTTGGTTGATTTGTTTTTTGTTGTTGAGTTGTAGGAGTTCTTTACAAGGTCTGGATGCTAATCCCTTGTCAGATATATTATTTGCAAATATTTTCTCCCATTCCATGGATTGTCTTTTCACTCTCTTGATAGTGTCCTTTGATGTTTTTAATTTTGATGAAGTCCAGTTTATCTATTTTTTCTTTTGTTTCCTGTGCTTTTAATGTCATACTTAAGAAATCATTGCCTAATCCAAAGTCGTGAAGATTTTCCCTACATTTTCTTCTTCTAAGAGTTTTATAATTTTAATTATGTTTAGGTCTTTGATCCATTTTGAGTTAACTCTGTATATGATGTGAGGCAGGAGTCTAACTTCCATTCTTTTGCATGTGGGTATCCAGTTTTCTGTGTACCGTTTGTTGAAAAGACTGCCTTTTCCCCATTGAATGGTCTTAGAGCCTTTGATTGAAAATGAATTGACCGTGTATTGTGAGAGTTTGTTTCTGGGCTTTCTATTCTATTACTTTGGTCTGTCTGTCTATCCGCATTGCCAGTATCACACTGTTTTGATTACTGTAGCTTTGTAGTAAGTTTTGAAATTAGGAAATATGAGTCCTCCATTTTGTTGTTTTTGAAGACTGTTTTGACTCTTCAGGGTCCTTTGAGGTTCCATGTCAATTTCAGGATGGGTTTTTCTATTTATGCAAAAACACTTTGGGGTTTTGATAGGGATTGCATTGAATCTCTACATTGCTTTGGGTAGTATCATCTTAAGCAATATTAAGTCTTCCAAACCATGAACATGGGATAGTTTCTATTTATTTAGAACTTTAATTTCTTTCAGTAATGTGTAGTTTTTAGTGTACAGATCTTACACTTCCTTGGTTAATTCCTAGATATTTTAATCTTTTTGATGCTGTTGTAAATGGAATTGATTTTTAAATTTCCTTTTTGGATTGTTCATTGAAAGTGTATGGAATACAGCTGAATTTTGTGTGTTAATCTTATATCCTATAACTGCTGACTTAATTTATTAGCACTAACATTTTTTTGTGTGTTGATTCTTTGAGCTTTCTATGTATAAGATCATCTCATTTGTGAAAATAGATAATTTTACCTCTTCCTTTCCAATTTGGATGCCTTTTATTTCTTTAGCCTAATTGCTCTGGCTAGAACTTTTAGTACTGTGTTGAATAGAAGAGGCAAAAGTAGACATTCTTATCTTGTTCTTGATCTTAGGGGGAAAGCTTTCAGTCTTTCACCATTGAATGTGATGTTATCCATGTGTTTTTCATGTATGGCCTTTATGATATCAAGCAAATTCCCTTTTATTTCTAGTTTATTGAGTGTGTTTATCTTGAAGTGGCATTGAATTTTATCACACGCTTTTTCTGCATCAGTTGGATGATCGTGTGGGTTTTTTTCCTTCATTTTAGTGAAGTGTAGTGTATTACATTAATTGATTTTTATATGTTGAACCATCTTTGCATTCTGGGAGTAAATCTCACTTGGTCATGATGTATAATCCTTTTAATATGCTGCTTAATTCAGTTTGCTAGTATTTTGCTGAGGATTTTTTGCATTTATATTCTAAGGGGATATTCTTAGTTTTCTTTTCTTGTAGTGTCTTTGTCTGGCTTTGCTATCAGGGTAATGCTGGCCTTAGAATGAGTTAGGAAGTGTTCCTTCCTCTCTAATCTTTTGGAAGAATTTAAACAGGGTTGGTGCTAATTCTTCCTTAAATGTTTGGTCACAGTTTTTGCAATAGAAATGAATCAAGTATTTTTTTAGAGCCATTAACAGAATTTTAAGGAACTAGAAAGATGTCTCCAGGAGTGCAGGTTTCCATAAGCACAATGTGAAATTACCACTGTGTGAGCTAACTCACAAAAGCTGCCAGTGTCAGTTGGGCTCCTTAGCTTTGTTCCTGGGCTTCTTCTAATTTGTGTGGTGATTACCTGGAATCATGTGTTCTATACCCCCAAGTCTGTTTTAAGGATTCAGTTGTGGAGATTGGGCACCCTCAGAAAGGAAACTTTTGACATTATATCTTCAGTCGTTAAGCTACTTTGCACGTACTGTAGTCCTTAAATCGCTTCTGAAAACTAGGTGAGTAATCTCAAATTTAGTAATAAAAAAGCTTAAGGCAGGGACTGGCCTGGTGGTGCAGCGGTTAAGTTTGCAAGTTCCACTTTGGCAGCCCAGGGTGCACCGATTTCAGATCCCGGGTATGGACATGGCACCGCTTTGGCAAGCCGTGCTGTGGAAGGTGTCCCACATATAAAAAAGTAGAGGAAGATGGGCACGGATGTGAGCTCAGGGCCAGTCTTCCTCAGCAAAAAGAGGAGGATTGGCAGCAGATGTTAGCTCAGGGCTAATCTTCCTCAAAAAAAAAAAAGAAAGCTTGAGGCAGAAAAATTTTTCATAAGCACAAAGGATTTCTGGGTTTTGTGTCGCATTTTGTTTTGTTTTACCCCTTTAGTGAGGCTGCATTTTGCACTTGGCTCCTTCTTTGTTTTCCCTCCTTTATCTGTCTAAGACAAGGGTATTAACCACTGTTCACAGAGACTACATACAGATTCTTCTCTTCTAAGGTAAAATAAGCATTCTTCTAGAATCTAAAAGGTTAGGTCCTTTGTTGTTAGTTGTATGGCAAAGACCAAAAATAATTCCTTATAGGCCAAAGGAGAAGGCTTTGCCTCATTGTATTTTGGGCTCTTTAACTGGGGCATCTGAATGTGTCAGCCACTACCACAAAACTGACCAGTACAATGACTTTCAAACATTTTTGACAGCTTCCCACAATAAGAAGTAGACTTTATAGCATGACCCGATATATAACAAACAAAAACATATATACAACTAACTTGAAAGTCTCACAAACCAATTCTTAACCTTTATTGAAGAAAATGCAGCCTGCTGTCTTCTATTTTGTTCTATTTCTTTTTTTTTTTTAATTTAAATATTGAGTTCAACTCTCTGAAGTGATTTTATAACCTGCTAATGTTTATGAACTTTAGTTTAAAAATTATTCCTCCATGACCCCTAAAGTATTGTGTGTTTGTAGTTTTCTGGGCTACTACCTTTAGACATTTTGATTCTGTGGACTGAAGTAGAGTCTAGGAGTTTATATTTTTATTGAGTGCCCAGATAATTCTAATGTAGCCATAGATGAGCATTTGGGAACTACTAATAGATCTAATCTAATAAAAACTAGTTTATTTAAAACTCCCTTAAAATTGCTGAAAACCATCATTGTAACTTTTTGACTTATTGCCCTTTCAGTTTTAGAAAATAAATAAGCCGTTACCTAAAGTCTCTAGACTCCAATATTCATATTATGTAATAAAATGTTGGGAGCCATTTAATGTGGTGATTGACAGATAAAGGACAATTAAATTCTTCTTGATTATAGAAGAAAAACAGGTTGGGCTATAGTAGATTGTTACCCTCTGGTTTGTTCCATTCAGTATGATGTTGTCTTCTTTGACACAGACCAGTTTATGTCTGACTTGGAACACCAGCCATCAGGTTCAGCAAAGAAATGGCCTAACCACAGTGAGCTCTCATTTCCAGCTCCTTTCTGGAGAATCTAGAGGGTGAGTGTTGATTGAAATGTATCATTGTTTTTGTGTCCAAGTCTGGTATTTGCATGCAGTGGCTGGATTTGCATGTACTGCAGAGGAGAGGGTACACACTGGTACCTTCTTGGTAGGACCACTCATTATCTTTGGAGCTACACTGTGACTGCAAGACTCTGCTTTTTAACTCTAACCACACTCAGGCTCTCACACTTGTGCTTGTAATTTTAGTCTAGGTTTGAATAAAAGGCAAATGTTTAATTGGATTTATCAAACGAAAGCAGAGAGAGGCCCATCTGTATGAATCCTGTGGCTTGGGTGCTGAGTAAATTTGGTTGGTGATCAGGTCTGTAAGCCTACTCATTTCTGGTCAAGTACTCAAAGTTTTGATGTGAGGCAGTATGGGATGGAAATAACCAGGAAATTTTATCCATTTGCCAGAGGCAACCTGGATCATTGACCCTTGAGCCTACCCTGTAGGCCTATGTTTGCATTCCTGGTAGTTCATCTGGGGCTTCATTTGGAAGGAATCCATAGTAGAGTCAGTGTTTGTGAGGGAGGAGGGGCTAGGCCTCAGGCCTCTCTACCTTAGCAGCTGACCAGGAACACAGCCCTTACTGTCCCGCAGCTCCTTTCTTCAAAGACTCTCAAAGCCACTTAAGAAAGTATGTGATGGAAATTACAAATATACAAATTGTAATTCTCAAAATGCCATTTGAATTTCATTTTAATGAATTTAGATTTGGAAGGGGACTTAGAAATCATGTCCACTACCCAAATCTTTATTTTTAGGATACTGAAGCCTCCTGATCAGACAAGGCACCAAAACTCTGGCTTCTCCCAGAAGCCAGGCCTGCCCTGATCTCATATCATTCTTGTCTCTAATCATGAGAGAAGTAAAAGTGGCAGCTAAATTCCTCTGTATCTAAAATTCTCAGGAGAGTTATAACCAGAAGGATTTAAATGAATTTCCTCATATTATGGTTGAGAAAATCAGTTGAAGAAAGATTAAATAAATTGCCCTGGTCACATCACAGCTGAACCAAGATTAAAGCTTATTTCTTCCAGCGTTTACTCCATTGCTCTTCCCTTATGTGAAGCAACAAGTTGATCACTAATGATCTGGGTAAGAAGTGTTTCTGTGAAGTAAGTGGATGACTAAGGAGTGAACAGGAGGTAAGAACATAGAAACAGCAGGCAGTTTAGATAACTCCTTTAAGATGTTAAGCAATGAAAGAAGAAATTAGTTGTAGAGGGCTGTGTAGGGTCTAGAGTTTTTAATTGTCTGCTTGCTTGCTTGTTTGAGATAGAGAGACTTACCTGTATTTAAGCAGTGATGAGAAGGATCCAGGAGGGGTGGTGGGTAGATTGATTAAAGAAATGGAAGAATGAAGAAAATTGATGGAGCGAGGTCTTGAAGAGGCAAGCATGTGGGGTCCATAGTGCAGATGGTAGAATGAGTCATGTGGATTTATGGCTTTGGAGCTCAGGTTTGGCCCCTAGAGATCATAGATTTGGGAGTCAAAAGTATATAGAAATGGACAAGATTATTCAGAGAAAATGTACAAAGTGAAAAAAATAAGGAAATGAACAGAATCTTCTGATAATCCTAAAAGTCTTCTGAATCCCACATCTTAACCCAAATTGAAAAGAAGCTTTTTTTCTTTTACATTTCAATTTTTGCTGATACAAAAGGGTACATGCTGATACTTGAATATATATTCAAGTACCTGTGTACTGTTTACTCAGCTGGAGATTTAATGTTTGTCTTTGTAGAATGTTTTGAGTTACAACCTTTCCTAGAGGAAATACCTGTATGACACTGAGTATAGCATCAATCACGTACAGAAGAGGTTTCTTAAAAAGAAAGGACCCTTGGGGGCTGGCCTGGTGGCCTAGAGGTTAAGTTCTTGTGCTCTGCTTCAGTGGCCCAGGGTTTGCGAGTTTGGATCCTGAGCGTGGACCTATGCCCTGCTCATCAAAGCCATGCTGTGGCAGCATCCCACATATAAAATAGAGGACTATTGCCACAGATGTTAGTTCAGTAATAATCTTCCTCAAGCAAAAAGAGGAAGATTGGCAACAGATGTCAGCTCAGGGCCACTCTTCCTCACCAAAAAAAAAAAAAAAGAAGAAAGAAAAAAGAAAGAACCCTTAAGAACCCTTAATAATAGGACTGATCTCCCCCTCAACCAGTTGTGGTGGGAAAAAAGTGTCATAATTTTTCTTTACTGTTATTAAAAGCTAATATTAAAAGTGAAGGATATCTTCTGATCATTGTGCATGTATTTTCAGTCTGGCCTGTAGTTGAAAGCTATCTATAGCTCAGGGTGAAATTTAAAATAACTTGGCTAAAAACTTGGCATTATAGGCCTTAAGCTGTTTATCTTGGTACTTGTTTAAAATACTTAAAAAGTGTTTCTGTGTTACCTTTATGGTGGTCAGTTTTATTTTTGTTAATAATAAAAGCTAGGTTACTAGAATGGAGATCCAAAAATACAATGGCTTAACCACATTGGAAGTTTCTTTCCCACCTCATGGTAATTTAAAGATAAGGATTCTTTTCATTTCATTGTTCCTCTGTCACTCTAGATATTGTCAGAGCAGAGTCACCATTTTGACTAAGTCTTAGCCCAAAGCAAGGGGCCAGGGAAGGAAGGGAAGAGGTTATCGAGCAAGTGGTGAAGAGGATGCACACATCACTTTTGCGCACATTTCACTGGAGAAAACAGATCACATGGCCCTACTTAGCTATAAAAGGGAAGCTGGGAAATGTAGTCTATAGCTGGGTGGCCATGTGACTAGTTAAACTCAATTACTAGAGAAGAATGAGTTAGGACAGTTAGCAGTCTATCATAGATACCTTCTCAATTTTCAGGAACTTTTTTCTGTCCTTAGTCTGAGAAAGCAAATTAATTAGATTTTGATAAATGCAAATTAATTCTTCTGCTCATGCCATAAATAAGTGAATTCAATATTTCATGCATTTAGTTTAGATGGTGTTCTGTTTTTTTTCACAGATTGGCACCTGGGCTAACAACTGTTGCCGGTCTTCTTTTTTTCTGCTTTATTTCCCAAACCCCCCGTAGATAGTTGTATATCTTAGTTGCAGGTCCTTCTAGTTGTGGGATGTGGGACGCCGCCGCAGCGGAGCGTGCGAACTTAACCACTCGGCCACGGGGCCGGCCCCTAGATGGTGTTCTTATAACTTATCAAATAATCTAAAAGTAAATCTTAGCAAAACTGTGCTAGATAACCATATAATATACCATAAAATAATACCAGATTTCTCATCCATTTAAAATCATTTCTGTTCCTTTACTTTGAAACTTCTCTTGTTTCTTCATTTCAAGGGAAATTCAGAAAATTATTGCACCTATATATAGCCTTCATTAAACAAAAATAACATCTCCATAAAATTGTTCTTGTGGAGAATGAATTATATACCTTTAATCTTGGATTGTAGGGAAGGGAAGAAAAGATGAAACTTTGATGAATGTTCATTGCAGGCTCAAGATGAAATAACATATATAAATACAAAAATCCCTTACAAAAATGCTCAAGATGCTCATATGGTAGTTATTAATGCCCTTTGGGCTTTTGCATATATGACAGTGTGCATCTGCCTACTCCAGAGGCAGTGCCCTGGGTTACCCTGCTCCGCTCCACCTGATGGTGAGATTTCATACCCATACCATGCTTGTCAGCCCTAACTTTGGATCCTTAAGCATTGGAAATAGCTCTAAATAAGAGACCTCTTGTTACTCAAACACCTCATTCCTTTGTGTAGAAATAGCTTTCCTAGTGGACTGCAAATCTGAATGTTGGATAAAAAAGTTGTTTTTTCTTATAGCAAATATTGTTGATGGCTCTGACTACTACTGTTGTGGTGGCACAGGCAATCCAGATGTTGGGGTAGTGGGAGTTGAGGATGATGGCTGCCACAACTGGGCCAAATGCTGTGACCTACATAACCTCTTAGCCTGGGTGTTGAGGGCTGTTGACTCTTGTTCGAAGCTTTTAATTTACTTTACTCTTTAAAGGGGGTAAATGATAAAATTGTACAGTAGTGGCATAAACGGCTCTTTATGCTCTTAAATTGGTGAAAAAAATAAAGCTAGCTCATATATTTTGTGAACTAGAGTTTAAATAAATCAGTAAATTCATACATATATACATTCAAAAGGAAGTGAAAAATGAAATTGCAACCATTAATATTTTTAAGAAATAAGTATTGTGTTTATCAAGATTGCTAATGATTTATGTATAAATTACATCATAGATTTGTTTACTAGTAATAATTTAACTTGCTTAGTTGACTCTCAAATTTTGCCCAGTTACGGTAGAAAGATATCTCAGGAATCAATAGGTGGGAACCCGAACTCAGATCCCTCAGCATAAGGGAGAAGTGAGGGGCAAAAGAGAGCAGAGGACTTGTATACTACACTATCCTCAAGTTATTGCTAAAGGACAGTGGAAGTACTGCTTTGTGGGAAGCAGTTTGTTGAGTCCTTTGTTGAAAAGACTGCTTTGTTGCAGTTCTGACTCCCCTGTCCTAAAATTCATATTCACTATTCACCTGTAGCAATCATTTGAGCATAATTTTTGTTGTTACTTTTCCGAGTCCCCAAATTATATTAAAGATTCAGTTGGAAAGTAATTTTATTCAGCACTCAATATGTACCAAGCACTAAGGATTCCATGGAGAACAAGATAGACAAGGTCCCTGCCCTATTGGAACTTAAATCTACTGACTAATTATTATGTATTAATATTATGTATTAAAGTATATTTGAATGTAGTCAGCTTGAGTGCTTTTTTGTGAAAAATCTTCTGGGCTTTATCATAGTCTTAAAATCCTAAACTGTTAAGAACCTTCCAGGTTGCTTCAGCTAAGTGTGGTTAGGCACAGCAGGCAAAAGAACAGCAGAACTTTGGTAAAGGGGAGCAGAAATAACTCAGCTTCAGTTAGACTTTTGCCATAAACAACACCACCTGGCTACTTCAGAAAATGATGTGTTCATCCTTATCATCAAAGTATATTTCGTAAGTGGGTAGAGAATGCTAGATATAGACCCTTATCCTCAAGAAAATGTAAGCATTGACTTGCTCATAAAGACACAGGAAAACAACACATCATGTGGTTTTTTATGACGATGTCACCATTTTTAATCACCTTATAGTTTTAAAACTTGAACGAGATAAGAATTGAATAAGGTGGGTTTCATGGTAGCCTGAAACATCTTTGAATTTACCATCTTTGGAAACTAAGTGATAGGAAAAGATGAACTTGAATGTGAGCTGGGTTCTTACTTTTATATTTGGCTTTTTGCCATTGCTATGAGACCTGTCTAAAATAGACACTGTCTTAATTAAAATCATATCCATGTGTTAGTCTTAATAACTCTGGTCCCCTTCCTACTCCACTACCTACTGAACTTTCAGTGTACTAGTTTCAAATAGCTTCCAAGTAATTGTATTGAATTAGGATCCATTTATTGTTATCAGAAATTGATGTTTCCTCAAGTGGTAAGATCCTTGCCCTTCAGGAGCTCACAGCCTGTTTGAAAGATAATGATACCTACTGATAATCTAATGTGTTGAGTAATATTAGAGGGCATGCACAGAGATCATGGGCCATCCTTGTGCTGCCTCTTAACATGAGACTAGCCCATAGACCCACCCATGGAATTCACTCTCAAAACACTGTTCCTTGCTTCTTATGTGGCTTGGAGTAACAGAGGTCCCAAGGGCTGCCTTCTCTATTTATGTCCCCTTTATATTCTCATTCTATATACTATATAAGAGGGTTTTTTAAAATCTCTATTATACCTATGAGGAAACTGGAAGAGAAAATGTATTGTCATGCAAAGCATTTTCATAACTTTTCATTTGTATAGAACTATTCCAGTGAGTTATTTCTAGCGGTCAAGTGTAGGTTTAGATTAATTCCATCCTTCTTTGCAAACCATCATGAACAGTCAATAAATCCTAGCCTGGCAAATTTACTTAAAAAGCATCCTCTATCTGACAAAGACCTTCATAACTTTGTACCAGTGACCTTCAAAAATTGGACTCAGTGAGTGATTATTAGCCTGCCAGCACTGATTAATCTTCACCCTTTTGTAACTAGATTCCTTTAGCTTCCAGTCTCTACTACTTTACTATTCGATATTAGATACTAACTACAGTTCAGCCAAATCTTCATCCCTCATTTCTTTGCCCTTCTGAGTGCCCTTTGAAAATTTGTCTGTTGATATAAAGCCATAGATGTCTACAGTTGAAAGAGATCTTACTAGTTTAACACCATCATTGTATAGATAAGGAAATGGAGTCTTAGATATGTGAAATAATTTCTCCAAGGACACAGATGGCGTTAGTGGCAGGGCCTGTATTCAAAGCAAACCTAATTTCTAGGCCACCCCTCTGCTTACATATTTGCTTTCCCAGGTCCTATCTTCTTAGAGCACAGTGCTACTCCCCCGACTCATTGTTTTCAGCCTTCTGCTCTCTGTTGGAACTGTAAAACTTCCAGGTCTCTAGTATGAAGATGCCTAAATCTCTTCTTGCTCTGACTATTCACTGTAGTCTCTTGCCTGCAGGATTTTTCCATTTGGATGTTCTAATTTCCAATTCCAATTCCAGACCTAACCTACCACCTTGATCTAAATTCCTCCTTATTAGTTTATTTCCAGTAGCGACAGCACCATTCTTCCTAGACTCAAAACCTTGGTGGTGGTGGTGAATCAGTTTTTCTTTCCTCTCTCTGTCTTCTTACTGTGACCACACTCACTCTCCATCCCCCGGTATCATCACTTTTCATTTTCTTTGTCTAAATGATTTCTCTTCTCTACTCTTTTGGCTTCCAAGAAGTGACAGATGTTTTGAAACTGATTCCACTATTAACTAAGCAAATTATGTGACCTGTCAAAGCCTCAGTTAACTGATCTGTAAAGTAGGGTAATAGTAGTGATCTTAAAATGTTACGAAGATTAATTGAAATAAGATACAAAAGTTCAGTTGTAAAGTCTAACCCATAGATGCTCAATAAATATTTGTGGAATGAATAAATGTTAGTTCCCTTCTCCTTATAGCCATAACGAGTATATGAGTTTGAAGAATTTTCTTTCTTAACTACCTAAAAGATTCTTAACTATAAAAGATTAGATGTTAATACTTGAAGATTTTTTTAAACTATTGTTAGCGTCTCCTTTGCTCTATGATCACATCAAATTCTAACATAGAATTTTTTTTGTCTCGGTCTATTTTTGTTTATAACAGCTGCACTGAGATATAATTAACTACTATAAAATTCACCCCTGAAAATATACAATTCATTGGTTTTTAGTATAATCATGGAGTTGTGCAACCATCACCACTATCTAATTTTAAAACATTTTCATTACTCCAAAAAGAAATCTCACAACTGTTAATAGTCATTCCCCATTCCTTCATTCCCGTAAACTCCTGGCAACCACCTGCCTATTTTCTGTCTGCATGGATTGGCCTGTTGTGGTCAGTTTATACAAATGGAACCAAACAACTATGACCTTTTGTGTCTGGCTTCTTTTGCTTAGCATAATGTTTCAAGGTTCATGCATATTGTAGCATGTATTAGAACTTCATTCCGTTTTAAGGCTGAATAATGCTCACTGTATAGATAGACCATATTTTGTTTATCCATTCGTCACTTGGTAGACATTACGTTATTTCTCTTTTGGAGCTATTATGAATAATGCTTCTATGAACATTCAAATACAAGTTCTTATGTGATATATATGCTTTTCACTTCTCTTGAGAATATACCTAGGAGTGGAATTAGTATAGAATCTTTAGTTTATAAAGCAAAGAAATTTCATTCCAGAGCAGAGTTCTCATGGTGGGAGAACTAAAGGTTCTTATTTGGGGTGTTCCCTTCTGTATTAGTTCCTTAAGATGGAAATTCTTTGCACTGGACTTCACAGAACGCTATGCTTTCTGAAGTGCTTGGCACATCATAGAAACCAACAGAAAAGCAAGAGCCTTTTCTGAAAGGATCAGAAACAATACAAATGCCCCACATAATAAAAGATGCTTATATTAGCATAGGGTAGCAAAATAAGCCCCAAATCTCAATTGTTGAGTCTCACTAAAGCATTTATTTTCATTCACTTTATATGCAAGGTGCACTGCAGGAATCAGAGAGGGAAAACTCTCCTAAAAGGATAAATTAAGGAAAAGTTAGATTAATGTGAACACATTTCAAAAGTATCCTATCTTCTGCTAGAACATGAGCGTTTAGAGTGAGGATAAGAATGTTTCTCTTGGGGCTGGCCCGGTGGCACAGCGGTTAAGTTTGCACGTTCCGCTTCTTGGTGGCCCGGGGTTCACCAGTTCGGGTCCCGGATGCGGACATGGCAACGCTTGGCTAAGCCCTGCTGTGGTAGGCGTCCCACATATAAAGTAGAGGAAGATGGGCACGGATGTGCACTCAGGGCCAGTCTTCCTCAGCAAAAAAAGAGGAGGACTGGCAGTATAGTTAGCTCAGGGCTAATCTTCCTCCCCCCCAAAAAAAGAGAGAGAGAACCTTCCCTCAGTGCAGTTGAGTTTAATCTCTCTTCCCTATTGTAATAGCCTTGAATAAAGACTTGCCTTTAAAAAAAAAAAAAGAATGTTTCTCTGTTCTCTCAGCCATCCCCCTTCCCAACTCAAACTGAACTGAAAGAGAGAGAGAGAAAGAGAGATCTGGAAGAGCTTATGGCATGATGTTTCCATTCAGGTCAGGAGCAGCAGGCTTCAAGCAATGCCTTTACCTTTATAGAAAGCCATGGAAAGGGAAAAAATGTCTTTGAAGTAGAGCTCAGCATTGAGCATCATTTGGTCAGTCATGCAGAGGTCACTAATCACTCTCCCTTTTCTTGTTTTTCAGTGAACGAGATAATTGGGAGAGACATGTCCCAGATTTCTGTTTCCCAAGGAACAGGAGCGAGCAGGCAGGCTCCCCTCCCAGGTCCCGATTCCCTGGATTTAGGAAGATCCGACGGGCTCTGACAGTGCTCACTGCAGCCTTGTGTCCACCACCATGTACTTCTCAGCACGTTTCTATCTTTGGACCTTGGGTTTCCAACTCTGTGACCTTCAGGACTGGTGCCAGGAGTTGGGATCACCTTATGTGGGGAAAGCAGCATTCTTTCACCTCAGGCCTTGGATAGATTTTGTAAAAGAATAGGAGCAGCATAGGCTGTTTGAGCTTTGGGGTAATGAGCTTTGCTTTTTATATTTAAATAGGATACTTTTATATGATGGGTGCTTTGAGTGTGAATGCAGCAGGCTGTCCATTTCAGAGGTGCTGCTTTTGCAGGTGACCTGGTTGCTTAGCTAGGATTGGTGATTTGTACTGCTTTATGGTCATCTGAAGGACCCTTTAGCTTTTATGATATTTTTAAAATAGGAACTTTTGATAAAACCTTCCAGAGGCAAACATAAAAGAAAAAAAAATTGCCCTAAGCCCACACCTATGCCTCAGAAACTCAGCATGTGTCTTGAAGCCTTTCATAGATTTATAGGAAATAAAGCCAAATGTAGCTCATACCTCTTTATAAAAGTAAACTGTTAGATAAAATGAGAAGAGACCATTCCAATCACTGAAGTATTGGAATATAAAATGACATTCCAGAGCATAGCCTTTTGTAACTTTCTAGGTAATCTTCCTGCAGTCTCTCCATACTGACTCCATGTTGAAATTGCTTTTTTCCCTCAGGGCCTTGGGTAAGATAGCTACACAGGTAAGGTGACTTTGAAAGGTTGGGTTTTTAGCTTGGTAGCTTTAATTTCTTGCCATCCTACAAACAAGTAGGCTGTGGAGTGCTCTTCCCTTTTGTGTCCTCTGGTCCCACACCTTTTACAAGTAGGAGCATCTGTGTTTGGCTGCTCTCTAATCTTTGAAGCCACAGTCTCATGATGGTTTAGGCAAATTTGCTGATTCTGACTTGTCTCTAGAGGCCAGGCTGTGTCAGAAGCTAAGCATAAACAAGCTATGCTTCAGGACAGGAAGAGAGAAAATGCAGGACTCCAGATGGGAAGCTTTTAAGATTCACACTGGTATGGAAGGCTTATCCTTCATTCTGTTTACAGCCTAAAATGATTCTGGCTTACCCTGTCCCATCTACGTGGCCTAAAAACCAGCCTTTTCCCAGAAAGGCTTTGAGGCAAGTCCAAAAGTGAGGTAGCATCATAGACCTGACCCTGCACACCAAAGATGCTCTGGTGCTGCTGCTGGTGATGCTGGTGCCCAAGGCTGGGACCAGCAAGAAACTCCAGCCTGCTGTCTACCAAAGGAGGTACCCAAGTTGGGTACTGTTTTTCAAACCCTGCCCTTATCCCTCCCCTTAATGGGATTAGTTACCTGTTCCAAGGCCTGGGCCTATTTCAAAGCCTCTGAAGTTTGCAGTATGTTTTCAAATGAAATGATGTACTTTCATTTATTCAGAAAGCAAATTTTTTGAGTGCCTACATGTGAGATAGTGTGCTGGGCTTGTCAAAGGTTTGACGCTGTTATTCCAGGGGATTGTGGGTCCTGGATGCCAGGACTCTCTAGTGAGGCCTGGGTGGAAGAAGCCGGCTTATTGCCCACCACCTCTAGTCAACCAGGTAGGAGCTCTTGACCCAGGATGAGAAAGTATAGTCTCTTTTTTCTTTAAACCTTCATGTTTTAGATTTCTCCCCTAAAACTAGTTAGAGAAAAATGTCTATGTATCCTTCAGCAAATCACTCTGGTCCCTCTTGGAGCTAGGTGTTTTCATATTTTCTTTGAAAGTGAGTTTTGTGTCACAGAGTGTGGATAGTGAGATTTGCTTCAGGGCCTATGGTTGGAAGCCCACAGCTTACCTTGGAGGGGTTGTGGGAAGCTGGCCCCTGAGATGAAGTTCCAGAGAGCTGGCCAGACTTGCCTCCACCCTCTTGTCCCTGGGGTAGCTGCCTCATATGAGGTTCTTGCAAGAGTTCCCCTTGCAAGACCCTTTGGGGGTTGCTCTGCTGCCCTCAAGAATAAAAGCCTCTATGATCCAGAGTTGCTATGCACCAAATTTTGATGCCTTTTAAATACCTTGATGCCTGTAGCACTAGAAATGCTTTCCTATTTAAAATAAAAATTAAATTTTAAAATAGAGCATTGTATACTATGTAAGCAGTTTTGTATCAGCTTTGTAAAAGTCAATTATTTTTTGGCTTTGTAGATAAAGACAAACTTTTGTGCAACATAGTGGTGTTAAAGCACACATTCATTGGACTATGCAAATTGATTTCTAGTAGCAGCACTGAGCAACTGGGCATGTGCTCATACCTCCCCCTTTGGCCTCCAACCTCTACTAGATCTTGGGTTGAGGAATGGGATGAACAGCCTTCTGCTTACTGGAGATGCAGAGAAACATGGCTGAAAACAGCTTTAAAAGTAACAGATGTCTTCAGGTTCGTGTGTGGTGCTGTTGCCTGGGGTGCAGCCCACCCTCGCCCAGGGCTAGGCACTATCACCAGAGCTCTACTGTGTCTGGCTGTGAAGCTCTGTTTTTGATACTCAGAACAGATGATCATCTTTAAGGCTCAGAAGGGCTCAAGTTGAAACCTTGTATTTTATAAAATGGATGATGTTCAGTTAAGGAACTGGTTCTCAGTTATGTTTACAGCACTTGGGATTGTGTTTTCTTGTACATTTTGTATTTTAAAACCTTTTAGAGGAGTACAGTACTCCTTACACAAATACAAAGGGAAGAGCCAGCAATTCAGGTTCCTCAGTTACAGTGCTGAAATAAATGGTGACAAGTCAACAGTTTCCTTGAAATCTGCCTGAGTTTTCCTCCGCCTGGGGCTGGTGTGGAGCCCCTCACGGGGTGGCGGTGGGGGGGGGGGGGGGGTGGGGGGGGGAGCTAAGGGCACTTTGCCTTTAAAGTCTACTTGGTTAGGAACCTTTGTTTATTTTACAGAGGAGAGGGTAGAGTTCCAAATTCCTTTTGAAGCCTCACTTCTGCACCCTCTAATGGGTGCAAAGGACATCCCCATGGTGTCTGCTGAGTTCAGGACCACTGGCCTGCCCAAGGTGTGCATAAAAAGTAGGCAGAAAGTCCCCTCTTAAAATTCAAGCCTGAGTTTTTTGTGTGAGGACCTCCTGCCCCCTAGTGTCCTCTGGGGATACTGCAGTACAGTCCGTCAGAATAGCCTGTGATTTTGCCATCTGATATTCCTGGTGCCAAGCTGAAGGCGGGCTAGCACCCCTGGCACAACGTGGCCTCCAAGGTCCAAGTATCCTGGGAGCTTGGACTAGTGCTCTCTGCCTTCCTGCCCACCACCAGAAGGGACAGGGGAAGAAGAACATTGGGATCTTTACTCAGAAGCTCCCAGGAGTCATACACTGAAGGCATCAGGGCTTAGATTTTAAAAAAGAAAGCAGGCCTGCTCCACAGAATCTGTGGGCATGGGTCATAGCCAGCACAGACCAAAGGCTCTCTGGGTGCTACTCAGGAGGCCCAGATCAGGCCATCAGGAGAAGGGTAGCACCATTCCAACCTCAGCCCTGCATGTAGGATCCAGCCATCATCTTTGGGGTGAACAGGCAGAGCAATAAATGAGGAATGGAGCTGGGACTTGAGCTCCTCTGGATGCCTTCTGAGAGCTTTGACAAGCCAAAAAGAAGCCACCAGGTTGAGAGCGCTGGTTCTCTGGACGCAGGAGAGACATGCTAGCTGAAGACATCAGCCAGCTTTTACCTCCTGGCTCCCTTACCTACAAACACACCCACTCTTTGGGGGCCTGTAGCACAGTGCGAGGTGGGTCACCGACAGGCATCAGACTGGTGTAGTCATCAGGGGCTAGCTGCAGAAGGGACAGAGATTTAGGGCAGGAAGCTCCAAGCTGAGCCAGGTCCCCAAGCCCTCCAGCCACACCTCACCTGGTAGGCCTGGAAGACGCTGAGCAGATCCTTCATACCAGCTGTGTATGGGACACCCTGCATACGGACCAGGGCTCCCGGCTGGGACAACACTGAGGTGGGAGCAGAGGCCAGGGCAGCAGGGGGCGTGGTGAGGTAGCCCACAGTGGTGGGAGAAACTGGGGGGCTAGGGTGGAAGAGGCAGGGGTTCACTAGTGCAGTCCCACCCATGGCCTAGACCAAGACCTGCCTTCTTCTTCCCTCGCCTCTGCCATTTACTTAGTTCACTTCCTCCTCCCTAAAACCCGTATCTCTACAGTCATCTCCATCCTAGTTTATAGATGGCATCAGCCAGCCCACACCTGTCACTCCCTCATCGTCTCAGAATAAAGTCCAAACTCCAACAGACCTTGGGTTATCTGGCCCAGGAAGGGGATCATGACCCTCCCCCAAACCAGGATAAGGGGCAAGACTGTCGAGTTCTCTTAGCAGCAGGGTACCTGGGGTAGTAAGCTGTGTAGTTCATGTAGAGTTGAGTGGCTGGCCCTGGGTAATAAGCAACAGGGGTGGGGGCAGCAGGCACCCTGGCAGCAGGGAGCAGTGCTGAAGAGGAATATAGAGCTGCTGTCTCGGTGGGAATGAGTGTTGGGGTGGCCTGGAAGGTGGCGAAGGCAGGTGGTGAAAGACCTAGAGGCAGAAGTAGAGAGTGCATCTGCAGGGAGCCCAGCATTGCCCTGGGTGGGGCAGCCAGAAAGGAGTTCCCACTATAGAAACTGGGAACTGGCCCCCACATGCTTCCTCCTTCCCCAGCCCCTGGGACACTCACAGGGCAGCTTGCAAGGCGGAGGGGACATGCCACTGCGGCCCAAGGTGCCCCCCATTAGCACACGGCTCATCTCATCTGTGGAGCAGGGGACCACCTCCACGTAGCGTTCCTTCATGACTTTCTTATGGCAACGCTGAGCAGCACCTAGGGCTCGCTCTGCTGATGTCATCTGGATGAAGGCATCTCCTGATGGCCGGCCCTGTGCACACTGTCTTGTAAGCAGTCTGTCATGTGCAAGAGGGCCTCACTCCCAACCATATACCCTTCCCTAAATATGTGTGTCCCCCTACTGGCAACAGCCTCACCTGCTGGTTGAGCACCATGTGCACACCATGGGGTTGGATGTCAGCTGCTGCCTCTCCTAGAAAGCTCAGGATATCTTCAATGGTGGCTGTGTAGGGCAGGCCTCGAAGGCGTACACAATCTCTCTCCGTCCCAGCTGCCAGTGGGAAGGGGATGGGCAGCAGTGGAGCAGTCACTGTGGGAAGGAGTGGGCTGGATGCATAGCGGTTCAGGACCTAGTAAGGAAGGCAGCAACAGGCTGATCATGCCAAGTATGGTGGGGCCACAGGGCATGGAAGGGGCACCCTGAAGAAGCACTTGGGGGATGGGGGAAGCCCTAGGTGCTCACCTGCTGCACCTCGGCTGCAGTGCTCCGGAAGAGTTCAATGTATCGCTTACCCAGCATGCCCTTGTGCCTGCGCAGTGCAGCCTGTGCCAGCTCTTCACAGGCAAAGAGGGCAAAGGCATCACCAGTGGGCCGGCCGTCAGGGTGGCGCACAAAGAGCAGTCCATCAGCACCCCCAGTCACTGGGCATTCTGGTCCCAGGAAGCCTAACACGTCTGCTGGCCCAGCCGAGAAGGGCAGTCCCCGCAACCGCAGGATCACTTGGTCTTCCCGTGACAGGAAACGAGCCACCTCTAGTGATGTGCCTTGGTGGGGGCGATGGGAGTCAGCATGGAAATCACCCACTGACTTAATTTGTGCCCTTCCAAATACCCACCCACACCTGGCACACAGGAGAGCAGAAAAGCAAGGGGCAATGGGACACAGACCAAGAACCAGGGGTAGCTACACATGTTTGGAAGCACACTCACCCCCTGCGATCTTTACAAATTCTTCTCCTGTTGCTTTATATACCTGTGGTATGGCATATACCATGAGTCTCAGGCCTGCCCAGCCTCAGCTCTGCCCTGCTCCACTCCCAGCCCAAAGCCCTACCTCGATATAGCGGACACCCATGTGGTGCTTGTGTCTCTGCAGCGCTAGGTCCCGCTGCTCGCTGTCCACAAAGCGGATGAGGGCCTCACCATTTCTGCGGCCCTGGGCGTTGAGGCAGAGTGCTACACCACCCCTGTGGAGCCAGTGCTGTGTTAGTACCTCCTGGGTAGGCCTGCCCTCCTGGGCCCACCCGTCCTGTCGTACTCACCTGGCAATGTTGAGCCCTTTAAAGAAGCGAGCCACGTCCTGGTCTGATGACTGCCAGGGCAGGCCACGAGCCCGAACCACAGTCTCACTGTCCACCACGTCAGCCTTGCTGCTGTGGGGCAGGGCAAAAGGTCAGAGTTGTCCAGCTGTTGTCACCCCCACCCCTGCCCCCACACTCACCAAGGCCCTGTTTCATATTTCTGCTTTACCACCTCGGGCTTCGAAAACAATTGACCTGAGAGGAGATGGCATTGGGGTCAGCAGGGTCTGGTGGAGGGGGGTCTCCCCACCAAGCTCTGCAAAAAGAGGACAGTTGAGGGGGATAAGGAAGTGACAAAGGGGCTTCCACTTTGAGGTCTCTCAGAGAAGGTAACGAGTGGGGAAAGGAATTTTGAGGAAATAATAAGCATTCACCCTGCCCTGAGAGCAGGTGACAGGTGGTGAGGGGAACCTTACCACTGGGCCCTTCGATCAGGTGGAGGATGACAGCTACCATTGTCTTCACTTCCCAGACCCCAAAGTCATCCTCTGTGGCATCTGTCTCCAGCCCCAAGTCTACGAGCAGAGAAATAACAATGAGGAAATCCCAGCATGAGAGGCCCTGGGGCAACCAGCATGAGCACTAATCCTGGTCCCACCTAAGCCCAAGTTCCCTACATAGACACATGGAGAATCCCAGCAAACACATGTTTTGGCCCAGTTCATGTATGCCCTTAGAGATCCCCAGCCCAGGCGTATGTTGACATGTGCCCACATTCCAAACGCACCCCAGCACAGGCAGAAGAGACATGTGCACTGAAGGACTCAGCAGATAATGTAAACTTGCAGTGTGTTCACATATCCCATCAGCATATGAATACTCAGACACAATACAGCCCACAGCCACCCCTCCACCCTAACCCTGCTGGGTCACAGATACCCTGTGCCATGGTGGCCACAGTGAGGTCCCTGGCACGGCGGGAACTTGGGTGCTGCACGTGGAACTCTCTGCGGAGGTCGTAGAAGGAGAAGAAGGTGTCCGGGAGCACCAGGTTCTGGGGGCACATGGGAGTGGGGATGAATGGGGGGAACTGAGCTTCCCTGCCCACCCCTATGAGAGTGGGGGTCCTGGGAACCCTACCCCCTGTTGTGCCCTCAGTGGCATACCTTCCTGGAGGCCTCAGGGTGCAGGACCTGTCGCAGCAGCTGCTGCCCATCAGTGCAGAGCACGTAGGGGCCCCCGCCCAGCAGAGCCACATCCCCGCTCACCAGCTGTGAGAACTGGAGATAGGGGGTGGGGAGAGAGACAGACACAGACTCACAGCTGGGCAGACAGGAGGAGGGAGCATGCAGTCTGCAAAGCTGGTTCAGCCAGATGTTCAGCCCTACCCTGCCTGGGTAGGAGGTGGCCACACCTGTTGCGCCTGGCTCCATGTCCCCCCTTCTCCCCCAGTTCACCCTCACCTTCTCCAGGCCAAATGGAGGCAGTCACATATCACCCAAGCCCCCATCACACACACTTGAGAAGTCTGGAGTGGGTCCAGAGCAAACACCTGGTGGAGTGGGACAAGCAGGTGGGAAGGGGCGGGGCAAAGCAGGTTAAACCTGTCCCTGACCAGGCACCACCCTCAGACAGGTGGGGGAGACCCAGTCCTGCCTGAGGCCCTGCCAGCTCATGGTCAACGGCAGCCCCGCCTCTAAGTCTGACCAACCCAGGAGCAGAGAAACTCCAAGGACAGAACTCCACACCTGGTCGCCAGAAGCGGTGTGAGCTTTGACCCACACCCTATCGACCGGCTGGCACTGAGCTGTTTGCTCATAGAGGGGGTGGCACTCCTGAAGCTGTCCAGCCCCTCCTCCAGCCTCCATCCCTAATGGAGAACAGGTATAAGCACTAAGCATAAGCCTAAGAACCTACCCCCAGCAACTTTACAATCTGAGGCTGGCAGAGCAAGGCAACCCAGGTCTCCTTCCGCACACTCCCCAAGTAGTGCCTAGCCTGGGAACCCTTCTGGACAGACTCAGGTCTTTGCGCCTCCATTTCCCGATCGGGAACCACCAGAGTTGTTGTAAGATGAAAGAATTTGTGCGTGTAAAGCACTTACACTCATTACTCTCAAGAGTCAGGCACAGGGTGATCACAGTAATGAAGATAAGAAAAAGAAAACAGCAATGGAACCGCCTCCCACTTGAGCCAGGGCCAGGAGGCACCCTAGGCCTTTGCAGTCAGGAGGCAGGTAGCCTCCAGGCGGGGTCCGGACAGCGCCCACCCCTGGACAGACGGCTGAGACAGGCCTAGACGAGCAGCTTACACCTGGCGGCGTCTGCCTCTGGGGCAGACACCGCCCTACACTCCTGCTTCAGCGTCTCCCGGGCGGGTGGGTGGACCGAGGACACAGGCGGCAGGGACCATGACTTATGGCCAAGTCCAGGCCCCTCGGCCCTTTCGGCTTCCGGCTGCTTTTCTGGGAGACCTGGCGGGTCAGGTTCCCAGAGGCGTCAGCCTCGCTCCCTCGCCGGCCGGGGACTCTTAGGGGTCTCGCAGCCTCCATCCCCAACCCCTCAGTAGGAGTGGATCCCTGGAAAGGCTGAAAAGACGCCCCCAGGAATGGTCGGCACAGGCGGACACACGCACACACGAGTCGCGGAAAGTTTCAAACAGCAGGAACCCGTCCTACTGCCCGGGCCAGCTGGTCGCGGTGCGCCAGGCCTGCTTCCTCTCCCGCCGAGAAATGTCCCAGCGGCCGGGCCGTGCCTCCAGTCACCCCGGCCCCGGCGCTCACCTGCTGCAACACCTTGTCCAGTGGCTCGGCCCGCGCCAGACTGTCGGCGCTCAAGCCGCTCGCCTCGCGGCACTGCGGGCTCAGTGCAGCCGCTTCGGCGCGAACCAGTGACTTGTGCAACGTTCCCACCTGCGAGCGGCGGGGGAAACCGATCAACCACTGCGCCCCTCGGATCCTGAAGCTCCCTGGGGACCCCACCGCCCCCTTTCCACCCTACCTGGCGGCTCCGAGGCTCCACCACTTGCCAGACTAGGAGGATTAAGTCGGTCTCGTCGGAGCCCAGGTCTGGCCCCAGCGCACCGGCCGTGGCCCCGAACAGTACGACCAGGGGTCTAGGGCCGGGGAGGGGGGCGGCGGCGGAGTCTGAGGCGGGGTGCGAACCCGGGGGCGGTGGCTGGGGTGGCGGCGGAGTCATGGCCGCGGAGTAAGGGGGCGCTCGGCCAGACACACGCGGGACCGACGAGGCGCACGCACGCACCGACCGACGGCAGACGCGGATCAGGTTGGGCGGGACACCGTGTGTCGGGGGCGGCACCTGCGGCCTGGCTGGCGCAGTGGGCGCTGCTGAGACCCGCCCGCAGCGCCCCGCAGGGCGGGGCGGCTACTGGCCCCCGCCCTCTCTGGGCGAGTTACCTGTCGGCTCTGTCGGTCACGTGACCGGGGCGGCCCCAGGAACCGTGGGGGAGGGCCGCTAGAACCTAGCCCAGGACATGCGGGCTCACACGCCCGGCCTGGGCTCGCGCTCAGGGCCGGGATTCCCACTCCCCCAGCCGGCCCTGTCTGACTTCGGAGGTGACCCCATCCTCCCCCACCCCCCGACCATGAGGCCTGTCCCAAGGAAAGTGCAAAACCATGAGCCTTCTCTAGTTCCTAAGGGTCACATAAGACTAGTGAAAATCACCAAGAGGGTCTAGAGCCTGTGGGGGTCACGACGACCGATCTGGGGGTGAAAGAAGTCACCAGGGGTCAAAGGGGGCGGTGAGAGTTACAGGGTATCACCCAGAGGTCTGTAGGGGAATCACCAGAGGTCGATTGGGGGAGGGCAGGGCGACTGAGATCACCAGGGGTCATTAGAGCCGTGGGGCGTCACCAGAAGTCACAGGGCAGGGCTTGTTCACACATGTGCGAAAGCCGGGCTTTAGCCTGGCTCCAGGAAGTGCCTGCGGTTTCAAAGCGCGGTCGTTGTGGGCCAGAGGTGTTCAGGCTTCGGTGCGGGGGAAGGAAGACGCGCCCTCAGTCCTCCCGCTGCCGCAACTCTCGAGAGCGGTACTCTAGACGGATAGTCCGGGCCTGGGGCTTCACCCCTACCCGACGTGGGGACGGACTCCTGTCTGTTTTCGTCGCCCTTCCCCCTTGATGACGGGCCTGTTGCCTGGAGACGTGAGCGCTCTGGTGGATGGGGGCTAGCGGCGAATGTACACATGTGCACGTGAGGACTGCAGATCCTTCACTTCTTCTCCATCCCAGAGCGGCAACCCAACTCGGACAGTCCCGCGTGGAAGGCTCTCAGCACCCTTCCGCCCCGTCGAGCTTGGTGAGGCTCCCTTACCGCGCATTTCCAGGCCGTCCCGAACTTCCCCCAATTCTCCCATTTATGTGACTGAGAAACTGAAGAATCTGGCGGAAAGAAGTGATTCCAGCCCAGCGGGAGCAGACATGGGGTTGCCAAGCCTCAGCTGAAACTGAAGCGGGAGCCACACCTCGCGATTTCGAAAAGCTGAGCTCTGCGTCCGGACCTTGGGACAATGGAGAGAGCAAAAGAGAGCGGGGTGGAAGGGGCGCCTCCGAAGCCTTGCCCTCTGAACCCACACTGTAGCACGTTCCTACTTGACAAAGAGACCGAGGCGTCTGGGAAGGAAGTGACTCGCGCTAGGACACGGCGGTCAGGAAGGAGTGGGAGGTAGACTGGCCTTCCAGCAGCTGAGGCGACCAGTGCCTCCCCTTGGGGGCGTAGGCGGGTGTCATTGCGCGGCAGCCCCTCTCGGGACTGTCCACCCGGGATTCCGCCTGCTTGTCCGGACCCCCCGGAAGAGCTAAGCCAATCAGGTCCGGGGGGAGGGGAAATGTCCCTCTGGGCCCCGCCCCCTCTAGATAAGCCTGGAATGTCAAATATTTGCTCGCGGGGCGGGGGGCAACAGCGAGGTAAGGCCCCTCCCCCACCCACCACCTGTGGCGCGCGTGCGCCAGGCGGAGTCCAGCCTTTCTCCGGGCCACGCCCTTGCAGCCGAGTCCTTTCACCCCAGCCCCTCCCCCGGCTCTCCCAAAGCTCCGCGGTGTGCGTCCTTCCTTGTCTGGCTCCTGTCTAGGCTCCTGCTTAGAGCCCCGGCGTCCCCGCCGGGCTACCCAGGCGTCATTTGGCCTCGGTCTCACCCTTCTTAGCGCCCCCATCTATTCCATCTCTAGACCTTCGTGCTAGGCCCTTCCCTATTCCTTCAGCGCAGGTCTGGACGCCGGGGAAGCCTCCCTCTTGAGGCGACCTCTCCAGTGTGGCATATCTGGCTGTCCTGAGCGCATTCTCACTGGAGACTCGTTCATGTGTGTCCAGGTCCCTGCAGAGTAGTGAATCTGTGGCAAGGGGCTGGCAGCGTGGGGCAGCTCCCCCAAACCCTCCCCAGCTGGTCCGGCCGCCCCACCCGCATGACAATTCCCGACGCTTGGACTCTTCTTGAAAAACTAAATTCGGTAAAATAAGGTTAGGACCCCTGCTTTGCTGAGCTCCCTTCATCTCCTTCAGATGGGCCCTCCCAGATCAACCTAGTTATACTAAACAACCCACACTCCTATCCTCCAACAGGCTCTCGTATCTTCTTCCCCTCAGCAGTAAACCAACTTGTAATACAGTTAATAATTCATTTATTTTATCCCTACCACACCCCCACCCACCCATGAGAACATCGATCCACTAAACAGGCTTATCCCCAAGCCTATCACTTGGCTTGGCACGTAGTAATCGCTCGAGACTTAATGAATGAATGAATGGGTAATGAATCAATGAATGGTTATCTAAGCGCTTACTTCGTCTGCCTTGGGGTATTCCAGTAATAGCAACCTTCCCTGGGGCCACAGACCCCCTGCACTAGAGCTTCAACTGCGCCCTTTCCTCCCCTCTCAATCCACCCTTGCCCTAGTTAACCCCTACTCTTCCTCCAGATTTTCCCCTCTCAAGGCATCTCCCTCCGTAGCAGGGGTCCCCATTGTAGTTTGAGATTTCTGTATTTCACTGATAAATGTCCCCCACACTCACCCCTACCAGGGTTCAGGAATTATGAATGAATGAATTGGAGATACGGTACACGAGAGAGCTGAGTGAGGCTCCTACGGCCCAGCCAGATGCCTTTCCCAAACTCTACTCCAGGTCTTTGAGAGAAAGGAACTCGGTCTTGAGAGCCGGGCCGCAAGGCCCTGGAACCCCACCCTCACCTCGGCCCTTCGAGGCCTGCCACGAAGGCAGCTGGCGCTCCAGCCGCGGGTACATGAGCGTACGGGCAGACACAGGGTGAGGATTCTCACGTGGGGCGAGGAGTGTGGATGTTCTCGTGGACCTCCAGGGCGTCTAGGAGGGGTGTAAAAGCGCCATCCTCCCTGCCTTCCTCCCAGGTCAGAAATTATCCCGCTGTAGGAGAGGATTCGACGCTGGGGGCCTGCTGGCGTCCGCCGCAGCGATCCACACTTGCCAGCTCAGACCTATCCCCACCCTCAGCGGCCCAGTGCCTCCCAGCTACGCCAGCTGTTACATTTCCTTATGTCCAGGGCCTCCAGAGTACCAAGCGCCCTAGGCTCCCCTCGGGTTCTAATCGCGCCTTTGCGGAATCGTCGCTGAGTACCCACCAGAGGGCGCACTGACTCTGTCGCCTGAATCGTGTAGGGGAGCAGGGAGGAGGAGCGTGCGCTGGAGGGCTCGACCCCGGGCAACGTCCCAGGTCAGAGGTGAAAGAGGAAGGCCCTTGACACCCCCCCCCCCCCCCCCGCGGCTGCCCTCCTCTGGCTTTAGGATCTTCGAGACTCCTTGCTCCCTGGACATAGGCCAAGTTTTTAAGGTTGGTTTTTAGGGCCCTCATCCTCTCTGTGTCCCTCTCACACACCATGTGCTCCAGACACACTGCTGTGATTTTTGAGGTCTCCAGGCTGCTGCGTATGCTAAGCACCCTGCCTGGAGCACCCAGCTACCTACTCATCCCTTTGTTTTCCTGGCAAACTCCAACTTATCCTTCAAGACCCATGCCTGTTCTTGGCCCCTTGCCCGCAAGGGTCTGTCATGATTAGGTCAATGCTTGGCATCTCATGACTACAGAGAGGCTCTGGTAGCAGAAGAATGGGAGCCTATGTAAGCTTTAGGGAGAATCAGTTGGCCTCCAAATGGGCTCAGCTCTGGCTACTAAACCAGCTCAGAAGTCCTGGTCTTGGTTGGGTTACCCCAAGCTCAGCCACCCACGTGGTCCAGGTTAGGGGGGCTTGGAGCTTGGGCGAGGGAGAGAGAATGCAAAGGGCCCAATGACACAGAAAGGGCAAAGGTTGTTGGCTGGATTCTCACCTGAGGAAGATGCCACAACTGGATTGGCTCCTCGGTCTCTGGGTTTACTCTCACCTCCACCCTTTGCCCAGAAGTTCCCCTCCACAGGAACACCCTCCCTCTTTCCCAGTATTTTCCAGAACTCACATCCAGCCCTGTCAACCTCTCAGTCCCTTATCTTCTTCTCCAGGTCTGACAAGTACCAGGACCCTATCCTGGAAGAGGGGAGGGTTGTAGAGGAGGGGATGCATCACTCATTCATTCAACATATATTAAGCACCTGCTGTGTGCCAGGGACTGTGCTGCTGGTGCGACAGTAATAGGACAAGTGAGGGGCTTGCTCTTCTAGTGATTATATTCTAATGGGAGCCAGGCAGGGGCTGCTTCAAAGCCAGTGGTCATGTCTGGGGTGAGGCCTAAATGCAGAGCTCAGTTGAGTCCCCTAAAGTGGGGGCTGCAGAGTGGTCCCAGTGCAACAAGTGCATAAGTCCTAAGGGAGAATGAAGTTGTCCTGTTCTAGGCAGCAATGAAGGCATTGAGGGTGGGGATGAGATAGCTGGGGAGGAGGGAGAGTGGAAGTTGGAGGAAATGGCCAAAGTACACTGCAGGGTCCTCACTATGAGATGCACACGGTGCATGCAAACGGAGGGTCATGAGTGTGGTTGGGTGGACAGTGATGGTGCCTGATTTAATGTTGAATGGTGTCAACCTGGCATGTGGAGAACAATCCACAGGAATAAGGGTATAAATTGGGACATCAATGAGGAGGCTACTATGGGGATTAGGGTAGTTTGACTTTGGGATGGTAGAGTTGGCAGACTTGGTGACCACCTGGTTGTGGGTCTGAGAGTCAGGGAGGTATCTAGAGTCCAGGATGACCCCAGGTCTACAGCCAGGGGGATCATGTGGATGGCGGGGTCATTGTGAAAAGGGGGGACCCTGACCTCCTGGCCCCTCTCCCCAGTGCCAACACAGGTCATTGCTGACCAGGCCTTGGCACCCTCTCCCCCAATGACCATGGTTCCTATCATCTACAGGGTCTGTGGGAGTAGGGCACCAGGGAACCACTCCCGAGGACAGGACCACCCTATGAGGGGCCCATGGTCACCTGAGGCTGCTGGGCTGACAAGACATGCAGACTGTGGCCAGAGTCCAAGGCAGCCCAGGCCATCCTGATCCCTATTGTCTTCCTACCTCACCCTTGGCTCTGGACTCCTGCCTGTCCCGAGCCCTGGCAGAAAGGTCTCTATGGTCTCCTACACTGGGCATGCACCAGATCGGTTTTCAAAAACCCCTTTGCTGGGGCTTGGGATGGAGGTGAGGGAGGCAGGGGTTTTGGGAGGGAGGTCCCTGGGCCAGACTTAAGTGGGAGATAGTTGGACCTTAAGAGAGTAGGGTACTCCAACCAGCAATGTGTTTCACTGTTAGAACACAGGAGAGGCAGACCAAGATGGTGAGTAGATTCATTGAGGAGCATTCAGAGAGGCTGGAAAGGGTCAGCCACTGACCAAGAGGAAAGAAGGAAAGAAGGGGCAGGATACAGGTCTTGGGACCAGCTGGGGATGACTAGGGTGTTGACTGGGTAGAGGCCAGGTCAGCGTGTTTCGCTTCCTCGGGAGGGGGTCTATGGAGGACCAAGACCTCCAGTCTCCAAACACACTCGTCCCCCTATCCCAGAGTGATGCATGGTGCCGGCTGTGAAGTCATTGACCACTCTGGTCTCCCCCGATTCCTCGCTCAGGGAGTCTGTGTCCTCCCTGGATCCCCAGGTTTGCGTGGCGGGGGGGGGGGGGAAGGGGGGGTACCGCGAGGTCCCAACACCCCTCCAGTTGTGTGGGAGAATTTGCCCATGGGCCGTGGCGCAGGGTTGAGGCTCAAGACCACTCTCAACACGACGTGCAAGCTGCTTGGTCTGGCGGAGTGACTCCACACTCCGCGCCTCTAAAACAGGCAGACAGACGTCTCACTCGGAAGCGAAACACGCTGACCTGGTCTCTACCCGTCCCACCCGCATCCCTAACCCTGGGCAGATGGCAGGGGACCCCTGGGTCAGGGAGCCTGAACCTAGGTGCCCTGGGGACAGGGTGCGAAGAACCGGTGCGGGAGTTGCACAAAGTCCTGGTCAACACCTGGTCCCCTAAGACCCAAAAACTGCTCGAGACTCACTTCTCCCCTTCTTCCTCTTTCTTTGACCGGGGTCGCTCAGCAGCGGCGAGCACTGGACCTTGAATCCCGGCTCGGCCCGGCCCATTCCAGCTCTCAGGTCAGGGAGGCGTCAGGAATCGGGGGCGAGGGCTGCCGCAGTGTGGACTTCGGGTACCAAAGGCTGGACTGGGCACCACCAGCTGCGAGCTGGGTCTTTGGCGTTGGCGGCTGAGAGCGTGGAAACCAGGCTGAGCTTCGATCGATCGATGAGCTCGGCGCGCGGCGCGGTCGAGGGAGCGGCTTCGGGATGAGCAGGGGCGGGGCGGCAAGCTCTACTGGGAGGGTCCCTCCGGCCGGCGAGTATCTATTGGCAGGCCGTTTGTGGGAGACGGGCCCTGATTGGCCTGGCCGCTGTGGGAGGCTGCGGGCGGCGGTGTTAAGCGCGTCGCCGCCGCCCGGGCCTAGGCGCGAGCCCGGATCGCTGAATCCGCACCTCGGACCTGGAGACGCTGTTGCACGCCATGGGGCTCCGCCTCTGCCCCTACCGCGCGGCCCTGCTCCCAGGTGGCCTCCTGTTGCTCCTGCTGCTCGCGGATCCGGCGCTCCCGGGCGGACGTCCCCCGCCGGTGGTGCTGGGTGAGGCGGGCGTCCTGTCGTGGGTCGGTTCGCTCGTGCGTCGGGCAGGACCGGGTGCGGGCGGGGCTATCTTCCAGGTTTACATCTGCTGTAAGCACGGGGTGGGGAAGCGTATGACTGTCTTGTCATCTGGGTCGGTCCGGCCATCTCCCGCCATACTGGGCGCGGGTGTGGTCAACCTCTTGTCACCTTCTCATGTAGATTGTGGGGGCGAGTGGGAGGGTTACCGTGAGGTTGCCCATCGGTCCGCCCGTCCTCGTCAGTCCGAAGCCTTGCCTTGCCTTGCCTTATCCCCATATCTTAGCTGGAAAGACCGAGGCCCTTTGGCTCCACTCCTGAGGGCTGGTGGGGGGTAGGGTGGCCTCGGAGCTGGCTCCCGGCAGCTTCAGCTAGGGCTTGACTTGGACTTGGCTGGGAGGCTCTCTCTCTCGACCCTTCCAGCCCCACACGGTTCAGAGGGCATTACTGAAAGGAAGCTCTTTGAGGAAAGGATTGTTCTCCTAGCCTGCCACCAAGGCTGTCTCCACACTTACCATATGGGTGGCATTGGCCCTGAGGGAGGAGGCTCAAGGGAATCTGAGGATGGCTCAAGACAGAGGTAAGAATTGGAACAATGGCTATGAATAGATTATCAGGGAACATACCCCTGCCAGACCCACTTGGACTAGGCTGTGTTGGGACTAGGTGACCTCCCCTGCCTACCCTCTCCTTGGCCGTGGCTCCGGCAACTGTACAGGAGCCACAGTGTTTCTTTGTGGTGGTGGATAGGGATGAGACCTCTGTCTTGAGGGCCTTGGATGCCATTCAGGATGTCACTCCCACCCAGAGCTAATGTGTTGGTGGCCAGCCAGGACTCCTGAAGGCAGAGGCATGCTGAGGTATCTGTTACATACTCAGTCTGCTGCAGCATGACCCCCAAGGTCTTTTCTGCTGGGAGTATCTTAATGGGGATGATGCAGATCACGGAAGGGTAGGGTTGGCAGTCAGTGTGGTCCCAGGGGGTACCCCACCAAGAGTTCTGGGCCAGAAAATGCTCCAGGGGGATACTGGGCCCAGGTTCACCACGAGATTTGGGGAGACTTGGCCCTGCCTTCCCTAAGCTTGCAGGATGATCCTCAGAGATGAAGTCTGTGCTGGGCAAGCACAGAGAATCTACCGACCCAGTCAGGGAAGGTTTCCTGGAGTATGCAGCTCGAGCTGAGGCCAGGAGAGAGTTCCAGGCAGAGGGAACTACATATCAGAGGGAGGGAGGGAAGCAGTCCAGGCTGTCTGGAATGGAGTGTGTGGGGGGGGGGGGGGAGTGGATTGTGCAGGGCTCGTGACTGGTTGGGTCATCTGAACTTCATCCTGGGAGCCCGCAGGACAGAGATGAGGTCTGTGCTGGGCACGCACAGAGAACCCACTGACCCAGTCAGAGAAGGCTTCCTGGAGTATGCAGCTCAAGCTGAGGCCAGGAGAAAGTTCTAGGCAGAGGGAACTACATATCAAAGGGAGGGAGGTAAGCAGTCCAGGCTGTCTGGAGTGGAGTTGGGGCTGGAGTAGATTGTGCAGGGCTTGTGACTGGTTGGGTCATCTGGACTTCATCCTGGGAGCCCGCAGGATATGGGTGGGCCTAAGGAGTTCTGAATATGAAGGGTGTGGCATTGGAAAGTTTGTGGTCTCTGGCCAGCATGCAGCCTTATTGCCTGGGTTGGTGCTAACTGCACTCATCAGTTCATTCAGTTCTTGGTTATCCTAGGTCACAGGAAAGGAGCCTCAGGCCCCACCCAGAGTCAGGGAATGACTGGAATCCTAACCTGCGCAGCTTTTCAGAGAGTGAGGCTGTTGGCATTAATCCTGGGAAACCCTATAGTGGACTGTTCCTGGGCACACAGCAGGGACCTGACCCTGACCATCAGAGGACCAGCATTCAAGGGTGACCAGCCTCTATGAGTGGGACCCTGATTAGTGGTAGGGGAAGCAAAGGCCAGAGAAGTGATACAGAAGACGACCCTGGGCAGGGGGAAGGGACTGTAGCAAGCTATTTCTACCTCTCCCAACCTCAGTCTCATCTGTAGAGGGGGTATAATAAGGATGTTCTCTCCAGTGTTATTTGAGACAAAAGGCGCATGGATGGCTCTTGTCCTAGTTCTAGGCACAAAGGGGCTCAGGAAGTGACCACTGCTATTTTAGAGGCCACACAGCCTGGCCTGGGCGAAGGGCATGCAGGCAAAGCAGATCTGGTGACTTCCTCTTTCAGCCATTTCCTCTTTGATAGAGACACTGACCAAGGTCTCTGCACTGCGCTGCCCAGTCCGCAAGCATGTCATCCAGAGGCTGTTCCTGTTGAGGACTCCCCACTTCTGCACCCACATCTTAAAGGGAGGTGAAGGCAGGTGCTGTACTTGCCTCCCGTGGCCACCCTGAGGACACTATGGGATGGTGCACAGGAAGGGCATGCCCTCTGAAGGACTGGGTTCACACTTGGAGCCCAGTGAATGCCCAGGAGAGCTAGGCACTGGTTGTTCACTCAGTGATCATGGATCCTAAATGGGGATGTGTTTGGAAGTTGTCGGGAGCATGGCATGTGGGAGCAGGTGAGGCTTGAAAGGTCACTTGGAGTAAATAGACTGTGAAGGGCCTTGAATGTTGGGTAGTGAAGCAATGGGGATGGGTTTGAGTGTCACAGGGCCCTAGGGCTCTGCGTATGCTGGATAGGCTGGCTCCAGTACAGAGAAGTTGTCCTGGGGGCCGGGTCACACCCACTCCCACTGGGCTGTGGCTGGAATGGTGTGTTGTTTCAGGGTAGCCATCTCTGACACAAGGTCCAGGTGCCAGGAGGCTAAGGCCCTCCAGATGACCTTTCTTCTGAAATTTTACTGGGCTCTGGCCTTTAGCAAGGCCTTGGGACATTGATAGGCCAGCAGGTGCCAGTATGAGCTTCTCTTAACTTTGTTTCTGTTCATGGCCCAATCCACAAACCTGTCCTGCAGTGCCTTCTCTGGATTCAATTTCGGCTGGTTAAGTGGCCCAATGCTCTATTATATTTCCCACTCCTTCCCTCAGAGTGAACAACCCCTGCCTATTCCATGTCCTGGGACAGCGATGGGTAGAAGGCCTTTAGGTTCAAGCCTCGAGGGTCTCCAGTCTGCCAGGCCCAGGACCTCACGTATGCTCTGTGTGCCCCTACAGTGCCTGGTGATTTGGGCAACCAGCTGGAGGCAAAGCTGGACAAGCCAACAGTTGTGCACTACCTCTGCTCCAAGAGGACGGACAAATACTTCACACTCTGGCTGAACCTCGAACTGCTGCTGCCTGTCATCATTGACTGCTGGATTGACAATATCAGGTGGGGGCTGGGGCACAGATGGGGTGCCGCTCGCCGACCTAGCCTAAAGAGGCCCCAGAGCCTATTTCCATCTCGTCCCCACCTCAGGAGACCCTGAGGTCACTGACCTCTCTCCCTTCCCTTTTCCTCAGTCTAGTTGGTGCCACTTTTGCACTCTCCCAGACAGAACTTTCTTCCCTTTCTTGCTGCTCTTGTCCCTGTTCTCTCTGATTCAGGCCTTGTGCCTCATGCCCTGCATGTGGTTTCTATGCTCCAGGCCCTATTCAAAGCCTCAGTATGGCCCCCACCCCTTCCCCTGCCTCTGATTTGGCCACACCTCCCCCTCCAGCTGCTTATTCTTCCTGGGATGTGCCCTGTCTCCATGCCTTTGCACCTGGTGTTCTTTCAGCCTGGAGTCTACCTCTACCCCCTTTGCCTGATGAATTCCCTCCCGTATACCCTTTAAAACCTGAGCCTAGTCCCTCTGTGAAGTCTCCTCTGCCACTCCCCAGAGCTGTTAACCTCTCCTTCCCCTAGGCCACATGCCTCTTTCCTCTAACTCTCATCATGTGCCAAACTTATTTCCAAGGATGTTTCCCTGATAATAATGTAATGAGAATTACTACTTACTGAGTATAGGCAGTATACAGTTTACATACTTTCTTTTATTTAGTCTTACAGCGACCCTATAAAACAGGTGCTATTTTCAAACCTGTTTTACAAAAGGAAATATGGAAGCTCAAAGAGGTTACAAACTTGCCTAGGGTCACTCAGCCAATAAGTGGCAAGATCAGGACTTGAACCCAGAATTGTATAGTGTGGCGCTGAGCTAAGGTTCCCTCCCAGACTGAGCTTCCTGAAGGCAAGGACTGTGTCTCTATTATTTTTAGAGCAGCAGAACCAGGAACACAACTGGTGCTCAATAAATGTTTGAGCTGAATGGAGTCTCACAAATTAATAAATTTTCTTGGAAACACACTAGCTGTCTCTCCAGGCACCCTGCCCTTCCCTGTTGTTTATGATGCCTGCTTTGTTGACTCTTTCCTCTTCTGTGTGTGATCAGGGTTATTTCTGGGCTGTTGATCTGCATGTCTATTTTTGTACCAGAGACGTGGTCTTAGGTACTGCCAATTGGAGGTGCGGGCTGATACTGAGAGGGGCTTGTCTACCTTCATTGGTCCTCTGACCCGTTTAGACTTTCATCCAGCACAGAGCTGTACTGACTTTCCAGAACAATTTTCTGCACTTTGCTGAGTGGTCACTGGGATAATCTACAGACTGCCCTGGAGAGGGTGGGCCCCCAGTGCCTATTATTTGGGCCAATGTTGGGAATTCTGTCTGCTTTCCGTGGCTGATCTTTAAAGGGGGATGGGACTCAGGATCACCAGGGACTGCAGGTCTAGCGTGGTCTAGCCTGTGTTTTCTCAAGCACATTTGTCTCCTTGGTATCAGGGGAGGCCAAAGCAGAGTTCCTGGCCTGGCATAAAGCTTTCTTCCTGTCTCCATCATTTCTCCAGTCCTTGCCTCTCCACCCACACAGCAGATACAGGGGCTTGGGCCCTGAGGTGGGAGTCTCTCTATCCAGTTCTGTTGTGTGCTGCACTCACCATCTCCTTTGCCCTGTGATGTGTTATGGCGGGTGGCAGGAGTTGGGTCTGTGCAGATGGGGCGATGGGAGCCTGTGAGGTTAGCCTGCCTGCTTTTTTGGGTCAAGTGCGATGTTCATGGCAGAGCCAGGCCTGGCGCTTCCCTCTCCCAACCAAATCTAAGACCTGTATTCTGGGGTGAGTGACATTAAGGAGAAGGGAATATTGTCTCAGGTCCTGGGGTTTGTCTTTGGAGTGAGGCTTGTTAGGGGTCCTCATTTGGATGTGGTTACTCTGATATGTGCTTTATAAACTTGCTTTGTTACTGTTTGGTCTCCGTATACATCTGACCAAACCTAAGGATGGGAAGGGAGTATGGCTCAGGACACAGGGCAGTATTAGGACACACCAAGTTCAGAGTCACCTCTGGATCACCAGCTCAGTATCCCCTCCTGACAGGCTGGTCTACAACAGAACATCCCGAGCCACCCAATTTCCCGATGGTGTGGATGTGCGTGTCCCTGGCTTTGGGAACACCTTCTCACTGGAGTTCCTGGACCCCAGCAAAAGCAGTGTGGGTATGTAGCCCTTCCTCATCCCTCCAGGGAATGGGGTTGGAGGTTCTGCTGGACTCCTAGAGTGGGAGGAACCCTGTCAGTTTGAAGGGGTAGCCTGTGAACTGTCTCTGATCAGTGTCGGCACAGAGCCCTGTAGCATTCCTTCAGGGGTTTCCCAGCAGTAGATGTCACAGTCTCCTTGGCAGGTTTGGTAAAGGTGGCTGGCACTGACTGTACCCTCTCTAATCCTATGCATTTCTGTCTACAGGTTCCTATTTCCACACCATGGTGGAGAGCCTGGTGAGCTGGGGCTACACACGGGATAAGGACATCCGGGGGGCCCCCTACGACTGGCGCCGAGCCCCAAGTAAGTGGTCACCCTCGTTTCCTCCCTAAAGTCTTGGGAGATAGGGACAAGGAGGTCACAGCCACCACTGCCCTGGGCTCTCCTCTATCCCTGGGCCTCTGGTGTCTAGCCCAGGGCTTATAGCTACCACCGTTGGTCAATGTGTCCTGTCTTTCCCCATGCCTCACCCCAGGATTTCTAGGGCCCTGAGCCCTGGGGAGAGATAACGAGGCTGAGGAGGGGAAAAAGAGCCCCTTTGTTTCCTACCTTCATGGAAACTGAGGGGAAACCAGACCACTCCCACTTGGGTTTTAGCACTCTCCCCACCCACCTAGTCTTGGATCTGGCCTGAGAAATGGTCAGCAGTTCAGGCCCCAGGACCCTTCCTCCCTGACCCTCACCTGGCTCTGATCTGCAGATGAAAATGGGCCCTACTTCCTGGCCCTCCGGAAGATGATCGAGAAGATGCACCAGCAGTATGGGGGCCCCGTGGTGCTGGTTGCCCACAGTATGGGCAACATGTACATGCTCTACTTTCTGCAGCGGCAGCCACAGGCCTGGAAGGACAAGTATATCCATGCCTTCGTGGCACTAGGTGCACCCTGGGGGGGCGTGGCCAAGACCCTGCGTGTCCTGGCCTCAGGTAAGACCCTGCCTGGTCCAGGATGGGGGGTTGGTATTGGGGATGGCACCCTGTCTTTCCCTGTACAATGTCTTTCATGTCTCTTCTCTTGGGTCTGAACCCTTATTTCTCCAGAGTGGTATTCTTTTCCAAAGATCTCTTTTTCCAAAAGAGAATCTAACACTACTCCTAATTTCATCTCTCTAGTGGATGACCCTTGTTGTCTGTGTACGTTACTTACAGCATGTCATGGAGTGGCATAACTGTTGGTCGTACAGGTACTTGCTTGTGCACACAGAAGCATGGTGCTCAGGCCTGGCTGGCCTAACTTGTTTGGCCCAAAGTTCTTTGGGGGAGCCTTCTCCCTCTCTCTTGCCCACATCCTTACTTCTTCATCCCCACCTTTGCCCCAGAAAAGGAAGGTGGGACTACAGTTTCCTGTTTATGAGTTACGCCTCCATCTGTGGCAGCGGGGAGCCTCTGTGTGCAACACAGGGAGGAAGCAGGTGCAGTTTGTCTGGGCCTGCTTGCTTAGAAGTTGGGAAAACCACCTCGTTCCCCATTCCTCCCTAATCCACCTCCCTTTTCACAACTGTCAGAACCTGCTAGCAGCAGCTGTAGGGCTTCCCTGCCTCTGCTAGGACTGAGTGTGAGCTCCATGGGCCCTCACTTTAGGAGCCATGAGCCAGGACTGTGCCAAGTATCTGATGAGTTTTCTTCCTCAAGTCACCAGCACTGCCTGACCTACTTGTTGGCTAACTGATCGTTGTGAACAGGTCAGGCCCAGTGCCTCTCCTAGTAGTGAACCTGGATTGGCTGGGCAGTGAGGGAGTGAGGACTTATCACAGCCACCTACTCTGTCCAGCCTGGACCTGAATGGACAGATGTGGGCACCACCTGAGTTTGAGTCAGGGAGCCATGGTGAAGTTCAGGTTCCAGCCCTTTGAGAGCTTCCCTGTGAGTTCCCTTAGAGCTTTGCCTCAGATGCTGGGAAAGTGTTCTGTCAGGCCTGGCAGTCCGGGATCAGGGATGGGGTAGGAGGGGTAGTCCATGGACCCCTAGCTAGTGGCTTCCCATTCATCATGGGTCCTAGAGCCAGGTCTCACCTGGCAGAGCTGTGGTCCTGTGGTCAGTTAGAGAGGTAGAGTGATGAGTGGCCATGGCTCCTGAACAGGTCAGAGGCCCCTGTTCCCAGGGGTCTCACTGGCTGGTGGGTATGTTTGTGTTGTTGGCATTCCGGTGCGAGAAGGACTGCCATTCTGTCTGTAGCCTTCCCTCCTTCCCTGTCTCCTGCAGGCCTGGCTGCCCAGGTCAGTGACAGGCAGGTGGGTGGGATGATACCAGGGCTGGCTGGCTGCAGGTCTGAGCCTAGGAAAAGAAAAATGTTTACATAGCTCAATGTAATAAAAGAGAAAGAAGAATATGTCTCTGGGCTGCCAACCTGCTGATTCACCTTCAACAAGATCAGTGCCTACAGACCCAGTGATAAGAGCTCCCTCCAAGGAGGGTACTGTTTACACAATAAATCACCCTGTGGGTGTGTGCTGCCTAAATCCTTGGGGACGAAATGCAAAAGGAAAGAAAGAAATCTTGGTTGAGTGCTTCCCAGATATAACAAAACTAAAGGGAAACAATAAAAGCCAATGAAGGCATGGGAGTTCTAATGATGATAACAGTGTAGAGATGCTGGAGTGCTGACTGAGCCACTGGTTGGGGTCCAGCAGGGGGCCTAGTGGTGAACTTGATGCCCAGCCAGCTTGCATTCCTGAGCACAGACTGACCTGGCCGGAGCCCTCTCCCTGCAGGAGACAACAACCGGATCCCGGTCATTGGTACCCTGAAGATCCGGGAGCAACAGCGGTCTGCTGTCTCTACCAGCTGGCTCCTGCCCTACAACTATACCTGGTCATCTGAGAAGGTCTTTGTGCGCACACCCACCACCAACTACACGTTGCGGGACTATCACCGGTTCTTCCAGGACATTGGCTTTGAAGACGGCTGGCTCATGCGGCAGGATACAGAGGGGCTGGTTGAAGCCACACTGCCGCCTGGTGTGCAGCTGCACTGCCTCTATGGTACTGGTGTCCCCACACCAGACTCCTTCTCCTACGAGAACTTTCCAGACCACGACCCTAAAATCTTCTTTGGCGATGGTGATGGCACTGTGAACTTGCAGAGTGCCCTGCAATGCCGGACCTGGCGCAGCCACCAGGAGCACCAAGTGTCATTGCAGGAGCTTCCGGGCAGTGAGCACATTGAGATGCTGGCCAATGCCACTACTCTGGCCTACCTGAAACGTGTGCTCCTTGGGCCCTGATTCCTGTGCCAGGCAGGACTGTGGGATGGCTCAGCCACAGTTGCTTCTCTTGGCCTCTGGGACTGCCATGGCCCATGTGTTTAGCAGTTTGTGACTGACCATCCAAGGCCCTGGGTCTTGGGTTGTGAAATGTCTGCCATGGGAAGTGTTGTTTCTTCTCCTTCCTCTGAGGGAATAAGGAAGGAAGAAATAGTCTGGACTCACTTGAGGAACTCTTGATGGAAAGAATGCTGCTGATGGTGGAATTGTTGTGACCTCAGGACTGGCTTCATGGGTGGTTGTCTGGCACCTGGCCCCAATCCCCAACTCTGGGGCCATGTGTTCCTCCTACCCCTGTGGCCTTTTCACACTCGCCCACCAGGCCCTGTCCCCTCAGCCTTCCTGCGAGGGATATTACTGAGCTGTAACCCTACCCACAAAGGTCCTAGGGATGGGCTCCTGGACCCTGGGGTGACTCTTCCCACACACTGACCACAGGTGGACCTGCTACTGGCCAGGGTGGTTGGAGCTGCTGGCTTCCCTGTGGCCTAGCTGCTCAACAGCCTGACTGTGGCTTCCTGGGGGCAGCCTGGTTCCCCCTGCAGGCAGGGGTGGGTTGTTCTCCATGGTTCCCAGGCCCTAGAGCATTCACTCCTACCTCCCTCACCTCTAAGAGCAGCCTAGCTCAGGATTGGGCATCAGATAGCCCCCCAGTTCTGGGGGCTGTGTCCCAGGAGCCCTGTCCACCTTGGTTGGGCTGTTGGCTACAGTATTGATGGTGGCTCCCTTTGCCCTGGGACTGTGGCTCAAGGATGAGAGCAGGGCCCAGTGCCATGGCCTTTTAGGTACTCATGAAGGAAAAGAACACAAGGAAGCAGCCAAGGCCACTCAGAGCTGCCCTGAGCTGCCCTCTTGCTAACCCCACCATCACATTGTGACCCTGCCCTAGGGTCCCTCTAGCACCCAAATGGGGTACAGGGCTGAGAGGATGTAGGGCTCCTGCCCACCCTCTCCAGCACCTACCCCCACCAGGCAGCTCAGTGGTGTTTATTCTGCAGGGACTATCCCAGAAACTTGAGTGGACCCCTGAGAGCCAGGTGCCTTGGGGCCCCTTGAGGGTTTTCTGTCTGCCCCAGAGGTGCTGCATGGATAACAAGCTTAGGGAATCTCGATCTGCCTTGGTAGCAGTGGTCTCCAAGTAGGCAATAGCTATAGGCCATGACTTGGGTGTGGCCTCTAGGGTGGGGTTCCAAAGCCAGAGTCAGGCTAACTGTGCTGCTCTCCCACAAGGTTTCTGTGGAGCTGAAGTTTCTCTGTTGCGTACATACCCAGCATCTATGTCTTCCTTTGTTGTTGAGTAGTGAGCCCCACATGGGGCTCTGAGCAGGCTGTACCTCGATTCTGGCAATAAAAGTATTCTGGATGCTATAAAGTGCCCTGGTCTAGGCTCTCTGCTCTGAGCATGAGAGGAGGAAGGTAGTGGAGGGGTGAGGGGGCTAGAGAGGCAAGTAATCAGGGGCTAGACCTTTCCTGAAGGCTTGATGGGTTCTCTCAGCACCAAAGCTTTGCCCCTGTGCACCTCTTTGGGCTTCATCCTCCTGACCCCTCTCCTGGAATCTAGTTCCCCTCCTGGGACTAAGAATCATGACCTGAAACATTCCCATTGGAATGCGGCTCCCCCTGTTCCTGCCTGGTCAGCAGGCCCCACGTGCCACCCCAGAGCTAGGGGCCAAAGACAATCCTGCAGGTCACCCTGGCTGGACTCCCTTTCCCAGCCTTCTGTCCTTTCTCAACTTGCAGGTCTCAGAATCCTTTGAACCTAGAGTTCTTTTTTAGGACGCCACCCTTCTACTTTGTTCTTCAGCTCATCTGCTCACCATCTGTGCCTCTTTAGGGACAGAGTGAGACTGAGGGAGGAAGAGAGACTAGGCTGAGACTGATATGGACAGAGACCAAAATGGGCAGAGGCAGGGGCCGAGAGACTGAGGACCAAATGGAGATGGATAAATCCAGAGAAACAGAAAGAGTCCAAGACAGGGACACATGCATAGGGATGGGGTCCAGGCCTGAGTTCTGTGGTGCAGAGCCCAGAGCCAGGGGCCGGTATAGGTGATAGGAGCCCCGTTCCTACCTCCTCCACAGAGCTGGGCCAGCCTGGGCTTCAGGCTTCCATACACCTTGGGCCACTAGAGGGCACTCTGAACCCTCTCACCTCACCAGTTAACTGGCCAAACCTGGAAGAAGGGATGGCCCAGAGAGGGTCGCAGAGAGAGGATGCCTAGGGATACACAGGTCCAGCTGTATCACTGGCCTTGGTAAAAGGGTGATAACATGAGAGGGAGCAAACCCTCACCCCTAGGCCCTGCCCAGTCTGACTCCCAGCTCTGTCCTAACACTCACACACCCATGCCACCCCTTGTGGTAACCTTGCAACCACCCACTGACCTCTGATCCATTTCAGCCCCACCACTGCCACCCTCAGTTTCACAACTGCAGGGAGAGGTCACGGAGTCAGAGCAGGCTTCAGGACGAGCAGACGGGCTCAAATCTGAATTCTACCAGCTCCAGTCATGTAGCCTGGGGAGTCTCCAGACCTCCCTGAGCCTCATGTGAAGAAGGGGGACAAATAAATGTACCATGCAGAGTGGTTCTGAGGAACATTAATGGTGCTGGAGAACATCCCATTCACTGCTTGGTACATAGTGGGCTTTCAGCTGGTGGGCTGCTATAACTGGGTGTGAGACAGCAAAGCCAGAGGTCTGCGAGCTGGCAGGTTGGATATGCAGCTGTCGTAAGGAGAGGTGGTCTAGCTGCCATTGGGTGACACAAGTGTCCAGAGCCCTTCCTCTGGCTGACCAGGGAGGCCTGAGGAACTGATCCAGGGGCCAAAGAGTCAGATTCTAATGACTCCAAATAACATACTCTCATTTACACTTAGGGAAAGTATTCCAAGTCTGAGCACAGGAGGGCAGCACCAGTGAGGGCTCTTCAAGGCTCATCATCTCAGGTCTATAGAGAGGAGGATTGGAAGAGTATTTAGGCACAGGAGAGACGAAATCATTTCAATTTGTATTTTAGGAGCACCCCCCAGCTTGTGGGGGTGGGTTAGAGGGAGCAGGATAGGGATTGGGAAGCTGTTATGGCTGAGGAGAAGAAAACCATGAGATGTAGGGCCTGGTGGGCGAGAGGAAGAAAGGTCTAGGGTGCTGCCCCTCTCTGGCTGGGTCAGTAGTGAGGCAAGGAGCAGGGGTTTGGATGTGATCAGTATGGAACCAGAAGAGGTGCAGTTGTGAACATGTGTCTGGGGGAAATGACTCCATGGTCCAGGGGAGAGGCTTGGCTTGAGGTGTGGACAGGAAGCTAAGGGGAAGGGCTCAGTTACCCATGAGGTCAGGAGGCCCTAGACAGAGCCCCAGAGGTACCAGAGGAAAAGGAGCCCTAGAAGGAGATGGAGGAGGAGCAACCAGAGGGAGAGGAAGGGGACAGGAGGATGCAGCTCTCCCAAGAGGGGTGTTAACGGGGTCAGGCAGGAGGAAGATGGAAAAATGTCCTCAAGCCTGTGGCTCAGGGAGGCCTGGCGTTGGCTATGGAAGCCTGACAGTGTCCATGTGTCTCTGGGGATGGATGTTTGATAGTCTGAGCTGTGGGAGCACAAGTCTTGAGTCTTTCTAGCGTCCTTAGGCAGAGGGTTGGCTGTGAACGGGGTATGGAGTCTATTTAGGGCTCCTTGTGTGAGCTGTATGGGGTCCCCCTGGGTGCGGGGCCTAGGCCAAGGGCCATATAGGAACGGGGGGTGGGGGCCGTTCCGCGGGAGCGTCCCCATATTGTGTCCCTCGGAGGCCCGGAGTGCCTCTGTGCAGGGTGAGGAGCAGCCATCCAGTCAGCGGGGGTAGCTGGGCCCCGGCGTGGCCCACAGACGCTGGGACCGCATCTCCGGCGCCGGAGCGCAGCCCGCCGGATCCCTGAGGCCGCGGCGGCCCCTGGGGCCCGGAAGCGCCGCCGCCCGTCGGCCCCGCGCGGAGCCGGGCGCCCTGTCCCGACGCCGCGCGCTGTCGCGATCCGGCGGCGGGTGACGTGGCGGGGGCGGGGCTTGAGCAGCCGCGAGGCCGGGGCGGCAGTGCGACAGAGCATCCTGGCGGCGACTGGCCACCGTGAGGTAACGGGCCGCTGGCGGGCGCGCCGGGGTAGCCGGGCCGGGGCCAGCCGGGCCCGCACCCTGTGGGGCCGGCCTCTCGGCGCCGCCGCCGCCGCGTGCGGGATGCGGGACCGGAAACGCGGAGCAGGGTGGGCGGGGGCACGTGAGAGCCGCTGCGAGTGAGAGCGTGCCGGAGGGTGACGCTGGCGTGTAAGAGGGACCTTGAGCGTGAGGGTGACTCCAGGAGTGTGGGAGACCTTGAGTGTAAGACTGAGCGTGGGAGAAAGACTCCGTGTGTGAGAGAGAGACTCCGAGTCTGAGGGCGACTGTGAGTGTGCAAGACCGGGTGTGAGATGACGCTGAGAGTATGGGAGAAACCTTGTAAGGGAGACTCTGTTTGAGTATGTGTGTGTGAGAGAGAGAGGGACAGAGAAACAGACATCCTGGACTAGAAGGAGGCTGCATGTGGGTGAAACCCTGATTCTGAGGGTGAGTCTGTGAGTGTGTAAGACCCTGAGTGTGAAGGTGGTGCTGTTAGTGTGAGGGAGACTCTGTGTGTATGTGAGAGACCTCGGGTGTGAGGGTGAGTCCATGTGTGAGAGAGACTGAGAGTGTGAGAAAGACTGAGAGGGAGATTGTGAGTGTGAGGGAGACTGTGTGTGAGAGTGGCCCTAAGTGTGACACTGAATGTGTGAGAGGGACTGTTTGAGATATGCAAGTGTGAGTCTCTGAAGGTAAGAACGAGAAGCTGTGCTGTGTGTAAGAGACTCTGAAAGTGAGGAAGGGCTGAGGGGGCGAGACTTGGAGGACGTGAACGCAAGAACAGAGCTTCTTGGGGATGCTGATAATGGGCTCGTGTTGGGGCTTGGGAGTGCTGGCCTTTGGAGCTAGAGAATGGTGCGCTCCTCTTTTTATGGCTCTTTTTGGTGTCTCCACATCCTGTCATCTTGTTTGATCATCTCATGTCGTACATGGAAGGCGATATTTGTGAAACATTCTGAGAATTCTTCACTAAGCTCTAAGCAAACAGTCTAGGCACCAGGTTGTGTAATGGTCAGTACAAATAGGAATCAATATTTAATTTAACAGATGTTTTTGAGTACCTCTTGTGTGCAGTGGGTTATGTGCTTGGTGACACAGTTAAAAAGAATTTGGTCTCTGCCCTTGATGGGGGGGAAAAAAGCACTGCCAGCAAATCTAGCACCGTGGTAGCAGAATGCTCAGTTCTCCGATGCTAATCTCTGAGAGCTGCTCCCTGGTTTGAAGATCTGGGAGGAGCAGACTTTTGAAAGCCTGTGAGTGCTTTCTGAAATCATTTTCAGCTTTCTTTGCTTGCTGTGAGGCTGTATAGGAAACAGTCCAGGCTCCCTACATTGCTGAGGTCCCATTGTGTACTAGTGGCTTTTGCTTTCTGACTTTGGTCTCAGACTGTTCAAGTTCTTATATTTGATTTTCCTTTCCTGATAAATATGTAGAAAACCACAAGCCTGATTTTTCTCCTATCTTCCTCCTTCCCTGTCTGGCTGTGGACGTTATTTTTATTGCAGATCAAGAGTAAATACGAGTTATATGGCTGATCTCCCTGGCAGTTCTTGGTACAGGAAATTTCCTGACCTCTGTGCTGTCTGCTGTAGTCTCCAGGTTGTGGATATATTTCTACAAAAGTGACGCAAACGGTGCTCATGGGACCTGAGATTCAGGGAAGGGCAGCTGTCTACACATGCATGATTTGAGATGACTGAGCTGGTTCTCTGACACATTTGCTTCAGTTACATTCCGCTGTGAGTGAGAGGGAACTTATCAGTAATTGAGTGCTGCTCCTGCTGGGCATGTAAAGCTTAGATTTTTACAAAGGGAAATATCGCCCTACTGCTTCTTAGGTTCCTTTTTTGATAAGTTGTGTCTTACTCTTTATTGCAGAGATTAAATGGTCAAGACAGGTAAGTGGAATTAGGCCTTGCTGTGGAGAGTTCATTTTCTTCTCAGTACCTGACCATTTATGATGAGGTGGCTTAAGAAAATGTGATGTTTGTTTATTTCCTTACAAGTGAATATTATTGCTCTGTTCTCTATTAGCTTTCTTGGATCTTTGTGATTTGTAAAGAGTTTTAGTTATTTGTATGTGATATGAACATGATACTGGTAAAGAGAATGGCTCACACATAATTAACAATTATTTAGCACTGTAATTTATTATATAAATAAATTATATACTTATTACATTGTATCTCTTTCTAAAGAGTAATTGTGGTGGTTTGTAATTAAAGATACTTGCAATGAGATTGTTAAAAAGAAATAGGAAACGAAAGCCATGGAAAAGACTAGATATCAAATACTGTTGAGAAGTGAGTGTATCTAGTCACTTTGATTGGGAGATGAATTTGATCTTGAGCTTCCTGGTAAAAAAGACAAACATAAAGAGTCACGTAATTTTTGTTATTTGATAGAAGTACAATAAATATATATATTTTTAAGTTTAAGCATTAAAAGATTAATGCATACTCATTGTGGAAAATTTATAAAACTCAGAGAAGTATAAAAAGTCCTGTGTCTTTTCACTGCAGTTAAGATTTTGGTGTGTTTCTCGACAGCATTTTTTTCCCCATAGTCATCAATTATAAAAGAATTTTTAAATCCAGCTTGTAAAATATTCTTTGTAATTAAACTTTGAAAGAGCCTTTTTTTTTTTTCTGAAAAATGCATGTAATAGTTTCATGGTTAAATTTTCATGAGGAAATTTTAGTGGCCTGGTGGATTTCTTTATCTTCTGCTCAGGAGCTTCGAAATAGGATGAAAACCTGTTAGAAAGCTGCACTGTGTCCTTACAAGCAGGACTTTATGCTGGCTTTTCAAGACAGGAACTTATAAGGTGCATTGAATGATTTAATGGCAATTGTCTTCAATAGTGATTTTAGAGAGATTGTGCGTGTTAAAGAAAGAGAGACCGAGAGACTATACTGTGTGTGATCTTCACATACCCATTTCTCTTATCAGTTGGATAAAAATTGAAGGCAAAAGGATAGTCAATTCAGAGAGAGTGATCTGGTAGAATTTTGTTCCACCCCCAAATATCAGGCTGTCTAGCTAGAGATAGTGGCTTAATCATGAACTCCTTGAATCAGTGATTTTTATCCCATTGTTGCAGAAGGTCTGCAAATCTACTCTGTGGGGACAAGATAAACAATATATTTCACACAGTTATGGGCTGCTTTTTTGAGAATGTATGTAGATACTGTTGTGACTAATTAAATGCAAATCAATTAAAAACCATTGTTGTAGTCATAGCAGCTTTTTGTAATTTTTTTTTTCCTTTCTCTCCTGTTAACCTGAAGAACAAGTACTGTGATAGAAAATGATGGGAACCACTGTCTCAGACTGGCTTCTCTGACTGAACACTTCCCTTTAGTTAAGGTTTTGTTGTTGTGTTCTGGGGAGCAAGTGGCTCAAGGTGTTAGACTTTCAGTAGGGTTTGTTGTGTGTTTTCTGTCCTTTATATATTTTTATTCAATGATCAGGGACTGAGTACCGATCCTGTGCTAGGCTTTGTACTTGGTGCTGCTGAAACAGACAAGGAGCTCACAGACTAGTTGAGAGAGACTGAAGGTAAGTAAATGCAACAGAGTGAGGCAGAAGTTTGTACTAGAAGCGTTAGGGGCACAAGGAGATATGTGGAGCAAGATGGTAGCGAGGATGTTGAGGAAAAGGTGGGAGAAGGGTGTTGGAGGCAGAGGGCTCAGCCTGAGCAAAGGTGTATTTGTCTGATGGGCTCTGGAAACCCTGGACTCCAGGTTCTGGAAACTTCAGGTAATTCAGTGTGACAGGACCATGAGTGGGACTGTATGCAGCACGGGGTCTAGTGACAAGGCCCTGCTGAGAAGGTTGGAGCTGGTCCTAAAGCCCTCAGGCAGCACCTGAGGGATTGTTCCTAACTGTGCTCTGATAGCAGTTGAGTAGATCGGAAGGTTGGTATTCTGTTGTGAAACTTGAGGAGCCAGCCAAAGCAGTGTTTCTCCCTGTGGGGAGGCTCTCTCCCACCCCTGACCTGCTTCCATCTCCTGCGTGGAGGTAAGCCCTATTGCAGGTGCCAATTTTTTTTCTCAGAATTCCCATAATTCCTTAGACAAGAACTATGTTGGGACAGTCCTTTTTCAGGTCTTCTAGATCCCTGCTGATTTTATGTCTACTTGTTCTGTTGATGACTGAGAGAGGTGTGTTGAAGCCCCCAACTATAATCATGGTTTTATCGGTTTCTTTCAGATCTCTCAGTTTTTGCATGTATTTTGAAGCTATGTTGTTGGAGGAAATAGACATTTAGAATTGTCTTCTTGGTAAATTGACCTCTTTATCATTCTGTAATGTCCTATTTATCCCTAGCAGTATTTCTTATTCTGAAGTCTGTTTTGTCTGATGTTGATACAGCTACTCCACCTTTCTTTTAATTTAGTGTTTGTATGATTTTTTCCATCCTTTTGCCTGCAACTAATTTATGTCTTTATATTTAAAGTGGGTTTCCTGTAGACTGCATATTGGGTTTTGCATTTTTCTCTAATCTGACAATGTGTTTCAATTAGTGTGTTTAGATCATTTACATTTCATGTTGTTGATATGGTTGGATTAAAATCTGCCATCTTGGGGCCGGCCCGGTGGCGCAGCAGTTAAGTGTGCATGTTCTGCTTTGGCCGCCTGGGGTTCACCAGTTCAGATCCTTGGTGCGGACATGGCACCACTTGTCAAGCCATGCTGTGGTAGGCGTCCCACATATAAAGTAGAGGAAGATGGGCACGGATGTTAGCTCAGGGCCAGTCTTCCTCAGCAAAAGGAAGAGGGTTGGCAGGAGATGTTAGCTCAGGGCTAATCTTCCAAAAAAAAAAAAAAAAATCTGCCATCTTGCTAATTGTTTTCTATTTGTTTCATATATTCTTTGCTTCTTTTTCTGCCTGCTTTTGGATTAAGTATTTTTTATGATCTGTTTTATCTCCAGTGTTGGCTTATTATTTATACATTTTTTTTTTAAGTTTTTTTAATTTTTCCTTTTTCTCCCCAAAGCCCCCCGGTACATAGCTGTATACCTTCAGTTGTGGGTCCTTCCAGCTGTAGCACATGGGACGCCACCTCAGCGTGGTCGGACGAGCGGTGCCATGTCTGCGCCCAGGATTCGAACCGGTGAAACCCTTGGCCGCTGAAACAGAGCGTGCGAACTCAACCACTTGGCCAAAGGGCCGGCCCCATATACAACTTCTTTTAATTTTTTAGTGGTTGCCCTAGTTTTACAATATACATTTTTAATTAATCACAGTCTACTTTTAAATAATATTACATTATTTCACACATAATATAAGAAGCTTACAATAGTATAACTCCCAATTCTTCTTTCCTATGTTTGTGCTATTGTTGTCATATATTTTACTTTTTTTTTTTTTTTGAGGAAGATTAGCCCTGAGCTAACAACTGCCAATCCTCCTCTTTTTACTGAGGAAGACTGGCCCTGAGCTCACATCTATGCCCATGTTCCTCCACTTCTATATGTGGGACGCCTACCACAGCATGGCTTGCCAAGCAGTGCCATGTCCGCACCCAGGATCTGAACTGGTGAACCCCGGGCTGCGAAAGCCGAATGTGTACACTTAACCGCTGCACCACCAGGCCAGGCCCTATTTTACTTTTATATATGGTATAAATCCACAGTGTGTTGCTACTATTTTTTATTTAGGCAGTCAGTTCTTTTTTTTTTTTCTTTGTTGGGGAAGATTTGCCCTGAGCTTACGTATGTTAGCTTCCTCTATTTACAAAATAGTCTTCCTCTATTTTGTATGTGGGCCACCACCACAGCATGGCTGGTGAGTGGTGTAGGTCCATACCTGGGATCCGATTCTGTGAACCTGGGCCACCGAAGCAGA